TCAGATCATATAGCCAGCTCTTTAGATCATATAAATAATTCTGAAAATAGTTGGAAATAAATCTCCTTTACATCAGTAACGGAGCTTTGATATCCTCATAAAAAAGAGGCATTCATAGATGCAAACAAGATACCTTACGCTCTTAAATAAAACACGTAAATTACATTTCTGAAATTCAAAATTCTTCCTCCATGCTGGAACTTATCTGTTTTATCAAATTATACAATGTCACAGTTGAACGTAATCTTAAAAATAATCTAGTGGCCTTGCTTTATTTTACATAGGAGGCCCCAGGAGAATAAAAGATCTATTCAAATTCCTATGGAGGCTGGGACCTAAAATAGAAGTAGAAGATGGGTCTCTTGCCTCTCCCGGATGGTCAGTAATCACTGCACTAATGATTCTTAAAGATGAGTATGAATCACTCTGAGAGGAAAAGTGTCCAGATTCCTGGGCCAGATGTTTCTTGAGAATCTTTTCTGTATATATTTTATATAGATTTCCAGGTAATCTTGTTTAAAGAAGACAATAATCATATCACCATAAGAACTGATATCTTCACTATAATTGAAGAATGAACAGGCACAGTCTTTGAAAATTTTACAGTTACAGAATTTGAATTAGGTTCTTTTGAAAATATTTATTTTACAAATATACATTTTTTTAAGTAGGTTTTATCTAAATAACAATATAAAAAATTATTGCGAAAAAAAAGTCTGGAGACAAGAGTGGACAATTGAGTCTGGGATATTCCCAGAGAAGCAGAAATACCCAAGAAGTAAAAGACTGGCATTTAAAGTGAACCAACATAAGGGAATCATGCCTTGATACTCTTTTACTTAAACTTTATGAAGTTTTAACTCTTAATAGCGACGCCTGGGTGTCTCAGTCGGTTAAGTGTCCGACTTCAGCTGAAGTCATGATCTCACAGTTCATGGGTTCAAGCCCCACGTCAAGCTCTGTGCTGACGGCTCAGAGCCTGGAGCCTGCTTCAGATTCTGTGTCTCCCTCTCTCTCTGTCCCTCCCCAACTCACACTTTGTCTCTCTCTCTCAAAAATAAACATTAAAAAAAAAATTTTAAAGTAACTCTTTGTAAAGGTTTAAGTAAAATGTGAAGAAGCTTTCTGGATGGTTCTCTAATGATCCAACCTAGGAAATAAGGCCCTCAGGTTCTGTCCTGGGGCCTTCAGAATAGACCAGATAATCCTGGGAACTGAATGATGGATTTAAGTTTTTCTGAACAATACTTCATTGTATTGACTAGAACTATTTCCCCAAGAAGTTGCTTTAAAGTAAGATTTCAAGAAAAGGACCCACTGTGTAACTATTCTCATTGATTTTTGCAGGTGACCTCTTGCATGGCATAAATACCTTAAACATTGTTCTTAGAGATTGATTCTTGACTCTACACAGCAAATCATTAGTCTTTATCATTTTTACCCATTGCAACCTCGACCACAATGGGCTTATATGTGCCTGGACTTAATACTGTATTTTTTCTGCAGGATTCCAAGTCTTGGCAACCTTTGAAAAAATTCCATTTGAGAGAGCTTTTAGGAGGCCGAATGCTGACTTCACAACCAATATCATCATAAGCCAGTACTGGAATGCAGTCAGCCACCGAGCCCCTGCCATCATCTACGACTTCTATCTGCGGCTCACAGGAAGGAAGCCCAGGTGAGAAGCTCGGTCAATTGTTTTGAAGAGTGTTGCCACATGGAAGATTAGGATCCCAAAATCCTTAGCCCTCCTTTCATCTGGGGATCAAAGGTGACAAACTAAATCATATAAATATATATATAAGTATATAAATATATATACACACGCATATGTGTATATATGTGTGTACACACACACACACACACACACACACACACACACTCTTGGGGCCAACCAAAGCAGGAGTGAGAAGCCCCAAAGGGATGCCTACCTTAAAAATCCTCCATCATAATAAAGGAAGCTCAATATTGAAGATCTTGCTTGGTAAATTCAGCAAGTAATCATTCACCGAAAGGAAAGCAACTGAGACTCTAAGTCTGGGGTTTTCTAAATTGTTAGGTAATCTTAAAATAACGTTAACAGCCACACACACACACACACACACACACACACACACACACACGCACACACACACAGAATGATGTGGGATGATCTCGTTTTCATTCTCACAACAGCGCAGAGAGGATATTCTCAGCATGCCAATTTTACAAATAGGATGTAGAAGCTATGGGGAAGAATTTAAAGTAGGCTCCAGGAGACAGAGGAAAGACCTGGAGAAACCTGAACCAGATTTACTGCCACCTCGAGGTGAGAAAAGAAGTAAAGGGAACAAGGTAGAATGAAATGTGTGGATGCTGAGGCAGTTGTGTCACCATCTAGCTGTGTCCTCACATGCTGTCAAGTCCAAGAGGGTACTAATCACCTCCCCCAGTCTTCTCCTCCAAATACTATCACACTGGTGGGAATAGGTTTAAGTATATGAATTTGGGGAGGAGGGGCATACAAATAGTCTATAGCAAAAATGTTAGATAATAATAGGTAAATGGAACCCTATTATAATGCTTGTAGCAGGGCATGAGTCCACCCTAAGAATTTCCCATGATACAATGAGAGAAGTCCCTGATAAGTCATTAGGTATATGAGCATTAGGATTTGACCAGAAATAAAACCAAACTCCCCAAACAGCGTAAGTCATTACTGGGTCAACTATAGTAATCGCTATTGGCAAAACTGGCCTAAGAGAAATGCTCTATAGGCCAAAGTCATCTGTAGCCAGATCACTAGGCTTGTGTGACCTTGAAGCTGTTAACCCTTCTGTAAGATGAAGGAAGATGACTAATACAGATCTTTACTACCTCACAGACTGATACTGTGAGGATCAAATAAGAGCACATGTGAAAGCTTTCTGTAAATTGTTGTAAAGTTGAGAAGTTCATACAGCAGAGCTGGTCCAAGTCCTGACCACAGGACTGGAAGATGTGGGCCATCTGAAGTCATGGGACACAGAGTGGTGAGATCATAAAAGCAGAGGCTTTTTGAGAGTGGTCAAAACTGAGTTAGAATTTTGCCTTTGACGCTTCTGTTATCATGGCCACTTCATCTCTATTAAGCTCATTCTACTCACTCATAAAATGTAGATAAATACATACCTGACAGAGATATTATAGGAATTAGCTGAAATATTTTTTTCAAAGTATCAGCACTCTGCCACACAGTAAGTGATCACCTAGTAAGTTCTTTTCCAGTATCTGGCTCAGTTTTTTAAATGTTTGTTTGCTACTCTTGAGAAAGACAAGGCAGTGAAGAGGAAGAGGAGGAGGTTGTTGGTGTTAAAATATCTAATAGAACGGACTCCTTTAGTTTCATCCCCTTCCTTCATTCAACAGAGATAATGTGGAAAGAGAAAAAACGAATCCATGTATTAATGAAGAAATGGGGGAAAGAGGGAAATTTTTTCTATCTTCTCAAAAAATAATTTGTCCTCCATCCTACACAGTAGCAGGGAAGCAGCCACCTGCGGTGTGCTGACATTTGCTCCTATCTGATCTTTACCTCAGGATGACAAAGCTCATGAATCGGCTGTTAAGAACAGTTTCCATGCTGGAGTATTTTATCAACCGGAGTTGGGAATGGAGCACATACAATACGGAAATGCTGATGTCTGAGCTGAGTCCTGAAGACCAGAGAGTGAGTAGAGTGCTGACAACCAACAAGAAAACAGGAAAATCTTTAGAATTTAGAATTATTAGACCTGGAAAGCTGATGGCTGAAGGAAGTTTTAGTTACATACACAGAATTCTTTCTTGTCTCTTTCTTTCTTTTCTTTCTTTCCTCTCTCTCTCTCTCCTTTTTTTTTTTTTTTTTTTTGGCTAAGAAAATCCATCAGTACTATTGACACAATTGTAGGGAATAAGTTAATGTAGGGAAGATGTAGGTAAGAGATCTGGGTTCTTGATGTTGATGAGATCCTCACTGCTATTCTGCAGTCACGTTTCACATGCTTTGCTTCCATCCCTGTTCACCCTTGGTTTGTCCTTAGCAAACCCTCAGCACCTCTGTATTTTCCCTAACCCCACAGCATAGGACGTCAATGAAAAATCAGTTTTATTGCTCATAAACTCAGGCATGCTGTTAAGTCAAGATCGTTCTCCATCTCCAAAGCTACAGTTCTTTCCTTCTTTTTATATTTTAATGTTTATTCAAAATAAGTTTTTAATGTTTATTTTTTGAAGGAGAAAGACAGAGTACGAGTGGGGAGGGGCAGAGAGAGAAGGAGGCACAGAATCAAAGCAGGCTCCAGGCTCTGAGCTGTCAGCACAGAGCCCGACACAGGGCTTGAACCCATGAGCTGTGAGATCATGACCTGAGTCCAAAGTCAGACACTTAACTGACTGAGCCACCCAGGCGCCCCTATTTATTTTTGAGAGAGAGCGTGCGAGCAGGGGAGGGACAGAGGGAGAAGGGGAGAGAAAACCCCAAGCAGGTTCCACACTGACGATGCAGAGTCTGACACAAGGGCTCGATCGCACAAACTGTGCGATCATGACCTGAGCCCAAAACAAGAGTCAGACACTTAGTTGACTGAGCCACCCATGCATCCCTCTTTCCTACATTTTCAAGCTAACCCCTACTCTTCTGTGCACCCCACTAAGACCTCCCTCCATCAGCACTGCCCTCTCTAGCACATACAGCCTCTCTCTTCCTATAATGACCTTTGATAATTCAGACTTTTATTTCTCAAGACAGGCCTTCACTTTAATTGCTTAGTATCAGTGCCATGTATTTTCTTTACATTAGCCTCTTGGCAGTTACAAACATTAAGTCTTGAAATCTTGAAATCTTGGTGTATTCTGAAATTCACAAATACAGAAATCTTTTGTACTTTGTACGGGTACCCAGTTGTTGTTCCCCCCCCACCCCCCCTCAGAGTCATATGTTCCCTGAGCATATCCTTAGTTAATTGTCTGACTCTTGGTTTCAGCTCAGGTCATAATCTCACGGCTCATGGGTTCAAGCCCCATGTCAGCCTCTGTACTGACTGCGGAGCCTGCTTGGGATTCTGTCTCTCCCTCTTTCTCTGCCGTTCACCTGTTCATGCTTTCTCTCTAAAATTTTTTTTTAATTTAAAAGAAAAATTTTTTTAAAGAAAAAATTATTTCTCGATTTACCTAGTACTTGACAGCTTGTAGAAGGGACCACATCACACTGAGAAAGAAATGCAAGAAGGCTGCCGCCAGCCTCATGTGCCGGCTACGGGCTTTACTCCCACAGACTAGCCTCGCAGAGTGTAATTCAAATCCAAGCCCTAGTTACTTCAGGTCATGGAACCTAAGTGTTACCCGCAAACTCAAATACCATAAATTTGATATTAAATACACCAGGTGAGAAAGAGAGATGTTCACTGAAATCATTGCCCAGCAACTCTAAAACTGACATGAAACACAGCTATTTTCAGAAATATTTACATCCCTTGTGTAGACAAAGCTATTCTAAGTACTTGTTTGAAATGCATAGATAATGATCAAACTAGGTTGTTAAAAAAAACAAACTCCAGCTATTGTAAATTATTTTTAAAATTAGCTACAGTTATTATGTATCGTTATCTTTATTGCATTTTTCCATGTAATTTATCCCTCTAAATAATTCAAAAGGAAGCTTAGAGCTTTTTTTTTTTGACATTTTACTATTTTAACCTAAAAGAACCAAAAATTTTATGAAAATGAAAAGAATCAAATCTGCTATGGATTTAACATATGCTTTCAAAATATCTTAGCAAAGGTAATACTCCTGAATAATTGCATACAATTGCCTAACTCTGGCTTAGAATTGGCTTAGAATTCAGTTTGATTTGCCGTATGGAATGAGGATTCCAAACTAGGACATTACTGAACTCTTAGAAATGTGAAATAGTATAAAAATAAAAGCCTCTCTTTAGTGATACTATAGAAAACAAACATATCCAGACAAAGTGATGGAGAATTACTTTTGAAAGCATTTCAGTTGTTGGACAAGTCTATGAAGCTCCCTGGAACTCAATAATCTCATCTGCTCTTTGTTAATACTCCATATTATTTGAGATAATTGCAATAAAAATATATATCATGTAACATATAATAAATTATATATAAATGTAATAAATATGTTATATAATCTGTATAATAAAAGAACAAAATAGAAATAAAACATCAAACTAGGGAAAATACGTATTAAAATATGAAGTCAAAGATAAGAATGAAAAAATAAGATGTCCATTCATATGTAGTCGACAAGATCTTACTAAGTCACTGCAGTTAAGCAGAGAATTGTTTTTGAGCTTTTTGGTGGCAAAGTGAAAGGGAAAATATAGTTCCATGGCATTCTGTATCTAAGAGGAGGAAACACACTAGGGTCCCAGAGAAACTGAACTCTTACCACTTAACTCCAGAAGAAATGTTTTTCAAGGGCTTCATTTAACAGCACACATAGTAGATAACATCTCTAAAGCAAATACAGACTATAATTTCTGATAAACCATTCCTTACGGTTTTGCTTATTCAGTTTACCTTAATCTGCATAATGAAGTGATGACACTGTAGGAAAAGAGGGTAGGCCAAGAAAATAACCCCAAAATTTAAAGAATGGAAAAGAGGAGAAGCACAGTTTGTTTGGGTCCCTACCCAAAGTTATTCCATCACCTTTAAAAATTATTAATCCCAATTTACTTGAAATTAGCTTTCACCAGCTAATACCAGTTCCTTTAAATTTCCCTCACAAGGCTTCCTAAAGGTCAAGTTATTTGTGCTTGACCTGTGTTTGAATATTTCTATGTAAATGGTAATCCATATGGTCAGTGCCTTGGAAATAATTGTCCAAATAATCTCCTTTTGGAGGGGTCCAACCCAAGTCTTCCAAACTGAATGTCACTCATTTATGTAAAAGAAACTTCTTCAAAAGGACAAAGTGATTGTCTCCAGCAGTGTTAATTCTAGCAATCCATAATCTCCTCTTGCCTTTCAGGTATTCAACTTTGATGTGCGCCAGTTGAACTGGTTGGAATACATTGAAAATTATGTTTTAGGAGTTAAGAAGTACTTATTGAAAGAGGATATGGCTGGGATCCCAGAAGCAAAACAACATTTGAGAAGGTAAGCCTAAACAGTTAATATTTATTGAGCACTTCCCACATGTATCTGATTTTATACCAAACATGAAATTTGAGTGAAGGGGAGGAATTAACATTTCTCAAGCATTTACTACATTACAGTTCCTTCCTTGAATACGAGGCCCTCATAATACACTGTTTCACTTAGACTTCACCATGCCCCTATGAGGGAGGTATTTTGTTATTCCCTCCCCTCTCCCTTTTTTTTTTTTTCTTTTTCCTATCAGAGACATTTAGTCTCAAAGAAGGTAAATAACTTGTGAATGGGAACACATGAGAAGTACAGGAGCCAGATTTGAACCCAAGTTTCTCTGTTTCTTCTACCACATCCCATCATAATGGGAATATAAAGAATACCCAACAAGCAGGAAATCTGACTGTACTGTTTAACAAAGGCAACTCACTCAACCACTCTTCAAGTCCTTAAACTGCCTCGAGTTTCTTTCAGTCATTGTTCCATAAGGGAAAATGAACTATAGCAGTCTGATATAATTCTGGTAGAAACAAGGGGCTTTTAATACAACGATTTTAAGGATGGAAAAGTAAATTGTAAAGAAAGAAGAACCTTAAATAGCAGGCTAAGAACTTTAGAACTTACATTCTAGTGGACAAGAACCAGTGAAGATTTGTGATACGGCAATATGATTAAAGTATATTTATGTTAGTCATGTTTGTAAGACAGATTAGAGACAGCTATGGGAGAGAGAAACTAGTCAGGAATATTATGGAAATCTGATCATTCAGAAGGCATGTAGTGGAAAGAGGAGAGAAAAAATCAAAATGTCATAAGGTCACGCCACATACCTGTGAGCATCTAACGAGCCAGAAAATGGTGCATCTATGCTTCGGACAGCACAGCTGGGTATCTGATGCTGTTTTAACTTTGGTTTTGTATGTCTGTTCCCCAGGCTCCGAAATATTCACTACCTCTTTAATACTGCCCTCTTCCTCATCGCCTGGCGCCTTCTCATCGCAAGATCTCAGATTGCTCGGAACGTCTGGTTCTTCATTGTGAGCTTCTGTTATAAATTCCTCTCCTACTTTAGGGCATCCAGCACGCTTAAGGTCTAGAACATTCAGCAATATCCTTTTATCTGGAATCTCCTGGATACCTCTAAAACAGCAAACTGTGGTTCTCAAGATTAGGAAGTAACAAAGAATATGCCCAAGCTCATTAACTGTCAATGTCTTGTCATGTATTCATCCCTATTTCTTACCTATTGTTTTTATTTAAGTGAGAGAAGGAAAGTCATATCCTAGCCTACGATCATACATATCTTAGGAAAATTTATTTCCAGATTGCCTCCTAACGCTCTATGCCCTTGAACATAAAAGACCAAAGTACATCTGTCTGTTGATATTTAGTTTGTTTTTTTCTTGAAAGGACTGATTTTGACTAAATGAACATGGAAGAACATATGATAGAAGCTGAAATATGCTAAAGAAAGGCAGTTCTAACCTTGGAACCATTCCAGGGGTAGCCAGTATAAAAGTTTAAAGTCAAGATTAAGGAGTACCTGGGTGGCTCAGCTGGTTAAATGTCTGACTCTTAATTTCGGCTCAGGTTATGATCTCATGGTTTGTGGGATCAAGCCTCATATTTGGCTCCACACTGATAGCTTGGAGCCTACTTGAGATTCCCTTCCACTCTCTCTGCCTCTTCTCTCCGTGTGCACACACGTGTGTGTTTGCTCTCTCTCTCTCACAAAAATAAACATTCAAAAAGAGGAAGATTGATCTCTGCATCCTCAGAAATACTATAAAAGAAATAACTGTCCACTGAAATCCTTTTTTTTGTTACACCATGGAAACCTGATTGAAGGCTGAGGGGGTTAGCAAAGTGGGCTCACATTTAGCATTTCCCTCAATTATACTTCTGAAATCTAAAAAACAAAAAATAAAACAAGAGTTGTAAATAATTGTATATAGAATGAGGGCTCAAGTATATGTGCATTGGGACTACTATACTTGTCAGTAAAAATTAGTTCTTATGATTTGAATCTGACAACTATTATTTCTAAATCTTTTCAATTACCCATTCTCCTGATAACTTTCTCTCAAGAGTTTCTTTTTCTTTGTAGTCACCAAACCCCTTATATTTAAGCTTATTTTGCTCAGGCCTCAGTGACTAACGGGAGGAAGGTACTTGGCTAGAATCATAAAAAAACAGTCCCCAGATCTTTGGCAGTGAGAAAAGCAAAATTCCAAATACAAATGTAAATGTTAGTTTTAGTCTTTTTTTGTATAATGGGAAAATTCCTTCTCTGTGATCACCAGGACTTACTAGTATCTTGATCATCCCAAGTGCACAATGTTAACTGTACACTGTACAGAAGAGGACAGACTTCACTAAGTGACTCTAAGTTTAGATAATAGCTGTTTTATTTAAAAATGTTTTATGTATAATACCAATGGATTAATAGTATTTGTTCCCAAATTCCTATATTAATAATATAACTGTTATCCTGACTTTTTCTCATATTTGAGATACTAATGCATGCTGGATTGCAGCATTTCATGTTAAAAACATGAATTATTATTATATACTATTTGGGGCCTAAGCAACTAAAAATAACCACAACTACTGGAAAATGACACAAGCATAAAATGGTAATGATGGCAGTTATATTTATGCTTTCTGTAATGAGCAGTAATACACAGAAAGCACATTCAAGTAACTGAAGTGCATTCAAATACCAGCTTCTAGTCTGGTATTACTGGAGATTTTTCTGAACACCAAAAAGACCATTTTGGGGGAACTCTTCTGGGCAATGTCTTTTCCAATCTCATCTAAGGTCTGGGAACTTATTTCCAGGGCAGACACCCCAGCTCTGAAACAAAGCACTTGGTGATTTTTGGTTTGAGATCTCTATCTGATACTTCTGAGTTACACTGATTAAGATACAAACTATAGATATAATAAAAATGAAATCAAGATATAACTCACTGAGATTGGAGAAAACATAATTATTCTAAGGATTTACTATCTTTTGATTTTTGTTTCACCAGTTACATAAATTCCACTGATAAAGTATTCATTTTGACTTTTGATTAAATGAAAGTTTGAATTAAAAAAGTTTTCCTCTTCTAGTGTTGTATCTTTAACTGCTGACTACTACAGATCTCCTCCCTCCCCTGAGAAAAAGATAAAATCTTCCAAAGAAACTACCAGATGAATACAATTTATCACATAGATACATAATGCTTCACTTTTTTCTGATACTATAATAAGGTTACATTTACATGCTGAAGCACGTTTTATCTGTGGCATTAAAGAAATGACGTGAATAAACTTCTGTGATGACTAAGCAGTAAAATTAGGTATCTGTATGAAAGGAAATCCCTAATTATTTCATATCAAGACCAACCGACAATTACTTGAATGTCTAATACACACAATGCAATGAGAAAGAGCCTTCTTTTGGGGAGAAGGGGATGGATGGTAAATACAAAGAAAAGGTATCTACATTTCAAATGAAGTTTTGGTAATTCCTAATTTCTGTACCTCAACATACCTGTTACAGTAATGAAGATTTCAGAGTTTAAGACAATCCCCACCTAAAGCAATTAATACTAGAAAAAGTTTGAGGCAGGTGGGCATAAAACTCAGAAAAACATTTCTTACAATTTTATACTAACTCAACACCATCATCTCCAATTAACATCTCTTTCAAATAGCTGATTTAGAATCTCAGAGTAAATAGAGTGATCTTAGAAAAGACTAATCCCCAGTGTGTTATCTCACAATGAACATACCAAAGCAGGTCAGCCTAAAGTTTCCAAAAACATCAGTAATTTTCAAAGTTCACAGGAATCACATGTAAACTTCCACATGGCTAGTTTTCTAGGAGTGTAAATCTAATAATTATGTTCTGGAAACATGAACAACTTTCTGTAGTGAAAAGTAATGGTTGTCCCATATACTCACATAGAGGTAAGGGAAAATGCTCACTGCTTACTTTGTAAAAATATATTTTTTTAAATTTACCAAAAATAAAACTAGCAATCGCTGGTTTTACAATGTAACTGGCTTGAGAGGCAGTAGTGGAGATACAGTTATGGTAAAGGACGCCTAACTGAAATTGGGTTTTAACAGCTAGAAACAGTTCTTCTGACACACAAATTAAAAAATTGGGTATGGCCTTACTTTATTTGAAATATCGATCCTAATTTGGAACTGTGGCTACGTGGGGAAACGTGAGGCTGATCAACTGTGTCAATTTTACTTTAAAGAAATTAAAAATAAGTCTAGTATATCTAGTATAAGAAATCATCAAATTGATTTGCATAACTGCTTGAAAACAGAAGTGAACTTATCTTTTAGTTAGATCAGTTGTCGCTGAAGGTCTGCTTCAGTACGTTGCTTTCATCAAGGTACACTTTCCCCACACCTACTCAGTTTTACCTTAAAATTATTACACAAAATAGCATAAATGAGTTATGATATTTGGAAGAGCTGTTAATCTAATTCCTTTTGATAAACATCCAATACAATTTGGAGTTGCTAAGACAAAACTATTTAAATGTCTCACCGATCATAATCATAGATTCAACTCTGTTGAGTTTTATAGACTTGAGTCAACTGCTCAATTTGCATCACTCATTCACTTTTTAATATGAAAATACAAAATAAATTCAATCTCATACAGTAATTTAGCTCCATCTGGAGCAAAAGCAAATTTAACAGACTGATATTTAAAGATTGCCATAGTTTTCCTAAGAGGAAAAAGAAGCTTAAATATGAGAAACTGAGGCTTATTTGGGGATACATGATTGTAAAAGGACAAATTGTTTTATGTTTGTCGTCTTATTTAGAGTCCAAATGTTCAGGACTGAGACACTAAGTGAGTCATGTGTGTTTTTTCTTAACACAAAACCAAAAAAAAAAAACCTCATAAGAAAACCAAAAAAATCTAAGGTAGTTTCCTAATCTTAAGATAATGCAAGGTGATTTCATCACTAAAAATTATTTCAAATGAGGGGAAAACTACAATAAGGGCATACTTAGGTGCTGACTATCTACTTTGGCTTGCAGAAAGTTTGCAATGGAGCTCCAAGCAGAAGGGGAGGGACTGATGAAATTTTAAAAGTCCTCTGGCTCAGGCTTAAGTAATTTTTAAACAATCAAAAACAGACATCTTGAACTCAAGTTCAAGATTCAAAGTTCTAAATTTTTAAACAGGTTGCATATAAATTTACTTTCTGGTACTCACATTACTAACCCAGGACATAAAAAGACAGAGTGCATAATATATCCTACTTCTACCATTAAAAAATTAGATCTTAGTCATTACTTTAAGAACTCCAGTCGAGTTTGTATTAAAGATTGCAAACTTTGCTTGCATTAATAAATTTACTATGAAATGCAGTGCTATCATAAAATGTGAGAGAAATGTGATATTAATCATCTAAATTGAGAACTGGAAGTAATTTTGTAATTCTAAGATTGAGTTAAGCTTTTCCTAAGAGGTAGTAGTCTGTATTGTATAAATACTGCAGCAGAGAATTATCCACCTAGGTATTTCATCTCCTTTTACGGGCCAATGTATACAAAACAGTTTTTAAAAAACTGATTTCATATAAGCTGAAGACTCAACTTTTAAAATATTTAGCCTGGAATATATAAATATTATGAATACCCTAATAAAATGAAAAAGGAGGGCTGAATAATAAAGTTGGGTACCCTATTGAAGATGCCCTCCCCAGGCACAAGCCAAAGCTCCAGAATAAGGAGGTCAGTACAGTGTTCTCTGAAATGGAAAAGAGACACATGGTGAGGTCAGAAACTCCTAGCAAATCCTAATACACAGGCAGACTTCATCATTCCTCATCCCAAAGGCTTGTCAGAATCTTACTACTTTGATTGCCAGAAACCTGATTTTGACTATCTGAGGAGTCTCATATAGAAACCTTTCTTATCTAGTAAAGTGTAAATCAATGGCAAAGCAGGATTTTGCTTTAAAGAAATTCCTTTTATAAGTCAGCTTAAATAGGACAGATTAATTACATTAAATTTTTCATATCATATTTAGAAAACATGGGAACAATTAAAAATCATATGTAAGTACCAAAATAATTTTAAAATCCTTTTTAAAGACACTTAACTGTTAATATCCTAACTGAAAGAAAATAGTTTTAAATCAGTATTATTTTACCTTTAAAGAAAACAACTTTGAAACTTGAATGAACTGTCTGGAAAGCAGATTCACAGAACCAAAATTCAGTCTCAAATAGCTAAAATTCTAAGTCAAATTCCTTTTGAGAAATGTTCTATTAGTTCCTACTCTACTGGAAATAGTATCTGAAAAAAAAAATCAGTAACAGAAGGCTCATTCATTATTTGGAATTTTCTGGAATAAAAAATCTTTCAGAGCATGTTATGTCACCTATGTTAATCAGTTAACTTAATGGCTCTTAATGACAAACTATATTTTAAACAATAATGCTTCTGTTCTTTGCTGCAGAATACCATTCAACATAAGCTTTACTTCAAAGCAGTTTTATCAGTATTTCTCTTCTCCATTGACATTATCTGTCCCAACTATTTTCAAGAAGACATTTTTTAACCTTTAAAAAAAACCGATTTGATTTTTCCAAACTGTAATTTGTGACATCCCGTTTTCTAAAAACCACCATTTTAAATCTAGTCTTTTAGACTTGCTCCTGTTACTTACCTGGAATTTTATTTTCCCATTTCTCTAAATGATTTAAACCATGGGCATTGCTAGCTGATTCCTCTATCATTCAGTATTACAAAAGGAAAACTGATGTTGGCACACATTTTCCAAATACAGTTTTTAATGGCACCTGAGTGATATATCTCTCTCATTATTTTTAATCTTTTATAGTTTGGAAATTGAAAATCAATCCTTAAATACTAAGAAAGCTAGAACAACACAAAACTAATTAACAAAATCAATCCCATTCAGGACACTCTGAATGCAAACACTCATAATCCAGTTTTATAGCTTAACGGACACTGTTTAATGATAACCTCTCAGATCTGACATGATCTTGCCTTATTTAAATATTTGCTTCATGTTTCTACTTTAAAGTTACCCTGTTGCCCCTCACCCAAACATGTATAAAATAGACTACTTTTCCTTTTAATACTTTATAAGCTGATAATTTTCATCATCAGTAGTGGACCTTGTTATTACTCACCTCCTGCTTCCTAAGTATATAGAAGGATCAGATTAGAAAATTTAGCGTCTTTTTTTAAAAATGTGCTTTCTTCTCCCTGTAGAAGTGCCCCCTCTACAATTTGTGAATGATACCTCTGTTACTTATTATAGCACCTGGGTACCTGCCCCTGTAATAATTCATGTTAATCTTCCACGACCCTGCCTCGAACAGTTAGAAAAAGCCAATAGCCAGAGTTTAAAGAAAAGCAGTTACCTTCCTCAGACCAAATTATTGGATAAATGGTCTTGTCATTATGGCTTAACATGGATATGGCTATAACATAGGGACCCATCCCTGTTTTCCTTTATTAACAGTGTGACCTTATCACAACTTTTTAAACTCTAGACTAGTTTTCCATATGTTTTACATATTTTATTCTGACATATCTTTTAAAAACAAAAGGACGCAAACATTTGCACTTATTAATGCCTTTTTCTTTAGATGTGGTTTGACTTCTTTCCTTCAGGCTGTTTGCCACCAAGAAGCAAGGTCTGATTTCGATACTGCCCATTTGCTATGAAAATATCAGAAGGGGTCATCTTCAAAGCAATACTCCAGTTAGGCTTATTCACTGATTAACTGCATAATTTCTTTTAGGACATTTATAACAGACACAACATATATAGGATTTCAGTTTGGGTTTTTCTTTCTTTCTTTTTCCTAGGTGTGATTCCCACTTCTCATTCATATTTTCTTCTCTTTGAATATATTGCACAATATTTTATTATTAAAAAAGGTTTTAGGTCTCAGGCAAAAAGTTTTTCTCCTTCACTCAGGAGGTGCTAATGTGCATTATTTTCTAAAAGAGGTAAGTGGTTGTCTGTGTGGCCATCCTCAAAGGGGACCTAAGGAGAAAAAAGACCAAAGCATTAGTTTTAATCCTTACACTAGCCTCTAATCCCAATGCTCTATTTTGGCAATTTCTTTCAGAGCACCAAAAGCTACTGTTCAGATTTAACACTGATGCTGTGACCATTTAGCACCATTTCCACTGTAGCACTTACAGAACTGACAGGTTTGTAGGATCCAAGTCGGAAACGACAGTAAATTATTTCAACTATAAACTTCCCAATTCCATGTAACATGCCTGTAATAAAAAAAGTTCATTTTCAATTAAATTATGGTTTAATGAAATCGTTTCCTAAGTTAATTATTTCCTAAATTATTACATAAGAATAAAAAACAACTATTTATAATGGAATAGATTAAGAAAATAAACAAAGCAGTTTGCTTTATTCATTTCTATGGTTAAAAGTAACAAGGCAGTTGAATTCTAAAACAAATGGATTTCCTTTCAAACTCACAAGGCCACATGATTCATGATCTTCACCATACAGTCTCACAAGGGTGCTTTACACAGCTCATACTCATAGCATTTTGAAAAATAAATAACATCAGCACCACAAATTTAAACAAATTCAAATGAAGCAGTGACAAAGTCTTTCATAAGAAAACCTATTCATTCATTTCAGAAACATAGTTAAAAAAAAAAATTCAAAGTATATACACTATATAGCTCCACGTAAAACTGAATGGGGGTTGGGGATAAAGAAAGAATGGTTTCCTTTCTTATCTATTGTGATTAACTCTCAAGTTTTCATGATGATGATTCTAAAAGTTATCTATGAGAGAATCTCATAATCTCGGGGCAAAAAAAGCCCCCAAAATCATGAAAACAATTTGAATTTTTGGTTGCACATATTGCATGGTTCAAAGACCATAACATATGATTTTTACATACTGTAATACCTTAAATGAAAAAAAAATTATATTCAAGTGTCTACTATTTCTAAGCATTTTCTCATCTAATCCTATAACAGACTTGTAAGTTATATAGTATTCTTCCCATTTTTATAGATGAGAAACTTTCAGAAAAGGTAGGTGACCTGTACACAAGCCTATCACCAAGTGATAGCAGATGGCAGAACCTGGATTCAATTTTAGGATTCTTAGCTCACTAAATCATCTCCCTTGAATTACTGAATGCAGTGAACTTCATTATGTTTAATGCTTATTCAATATTAATTTTGGAGATGTGGAATTCTATCTTAAAGAAAAAATTCTTAAAATATCAAAACATGGGAATGTATGTATTTCTTGCTCCTGCTAAGTATCTTAATTTCAGTGTAACACTCTAGAAATTAGACAAAAAAAAGGAATGACTCTTAACCTGTTGTTGAAAAGATTCCTCCAACAATACCACAGAGTCTTACAAAAAACTGCCAGAAAGGCATATGTTCCTCAGTGACGGTTACCATAAGAGAACTGAGATCATATTTCATAAATATCCCAGAGACTCCATGGCTGCCTGCAGCATGGTTAATGACGCGTTCCTAAAAGCAAGGGGAGAGACAAGAGAAGGAGAAAAACGGGATTCACATCATTGGGTTACTTGCACAGTCAATATGAAGCCCTACAGCCAACTATACAGGAGGGATATCCAAATCTCTTTATCAATTGTCCTACTAGACTGAGCTCTTCAGAGACAACTGAATTACTCTGTATTCTTTGTGTAGTTAGCTTCTGAAAGAATCAAAAGAGCAGAGTCATTCTCTCCTATTTTCTCAAAAAAGTCACTTTACATACAAGCGATCTGTACTGAGTTCAAGAGCTTACAAGTGAATGGCATCTTCTTCATTGATCAAATCCATAGAAACTAAGTTCATATTTTGACATACTTTTTGTAAGAATTCTTTGCTAAGAATTTACAAAATAATTACATTTGTTTCCTGTCATTGAAATGATCAGATTTAAAAACAAGTAATTCTGTTGTTCATTTTATTTAAGCCATAAGAGATACAATCCAGGAAGAAAACAGAATGCACTAATTTGAAACATATCAATATTTGAGTTACTGGTTCAGTTTCTAAAGATAGTTTTATTCTTGAAAGGAATGGAACTAAAATCATAAACCTAACATAGTGTGTATACTGTCCAAGAAAATACATTCCATCCTGTTTACACTTCAAAAATCAAGTTTCCAAACTGTCTAATAAATTTCTGTTACAGCGTGAAACAATGATGCTACCATAGTGCCTTGCTGACTTTTGTAATAACAATCCGTACTTTTATTAAGCCATAACTAAACTGAAAGCTTTAGGAATACAAATAACGAGGGAAGTTAAAACAATTTCATGTGAGGCATTACAAACCCCCTCCCATCAGAACGGAGCCGTACAAGCCACTGATCAAGTTTCCAATAAAGTGATTTCACCTTAAACTTCTGATATGTTCCCTATGATACCATAATTATATTGTCATCACCTATATGGGTAGAAGATCCTTCATCACCTGTATGAAGGATCGGGGGTTCACGTAACAAAAGACTGATAATGATTCACTTTGGTTTCAGGACTAATAAAACCCAGCGCTCCTCCTCTTGCCCCCCTTCATCCCCCACTTAACCAACTCTAGTTACTACACTTATTTTTTAAGTGAAACACAACTATGTTAGTCACCCTATCAGCACAAACATACTAAACAGAGATCAAATGCTTGGAGATTATATATTTTTTTTCTTTTTTAATTAATTTTGCTGTTTAAAATATATCTGGGAGTTAATTTCATATCAGTATAAAGAGATCTTTTTCTGCTTTTCTTTTTTAGTTTTTTTTTTAAATTTACATCAAAGTTAGTTAGCATATGGTGCAACAACATTTTAGGAGTAGATTCCTTAATTCCCCTTACCCATTTACCCATCTCCCCCTCCCACAACCGCTCCAGTAACCTTCTGTTTGTTCTCCAAAATAAAGAGTCCCTTATGTTTTTTGTCCCCCTCCCTGTTTTTATATTATTTTTGCTTCCCTTCTCTTGTGTTCATCTGTTTTATATCTTAAAGTCCTCATATGAGTGAAGTCATATGATCTTTGTCTTTCGTGGACTAATTTTGCTCTGCATAATGCCCTCTAGTTCCATCCACATAGCTGCAAATGGCAACATTTCATTCTTTTTGATTGCCAAATAATACTCCATTGTAAATATATACGACATCTTCTTTACCGATTTATCCATGATGGACATTTGGACTCTTTCCATACTCTGGCTATTGTTGATAGCGCTGCTATAAACATTGGGGTGCATGTGCCCCTTCCAAACAGCACACCTGTATCCTTTGGATAAATACCTAGTAGTGCAATTGCTGGGTCATAGAGGAGTTCTACTTTTAATTTTTTGAGTAATCTCCATACTGTTTTCCAGAGTAGCTGCACCAGTTTGCATTCCCACCAGCAGTGCAAAAGAGATCCTCTTTCTCCACATCCTCATCAACATTTGTTGTTCTCTGACTTGTTAATGTTAGCCATTCTGATGCGTATGAGGTGGTATCTCATTGTGGTTTGATTTGTATTTCCCTGAGGATGAGTGACATTGAGCATTTTTTCATGTGCCAGTTGGCCATCTGGATGTCTTCTTTGGAGAAGTGTCTATTCATGTCTTTTGTCCATTTCTTCACTGGATTATTTGTGTTTGGGGGGTTGAGCTTGAAAAGTTCTTTATAGATTTTGGACACTAACCCTTTATCTAATATGTTGTTTGCAAATATGTTTTCCCATTTTGTCAGTTGCCTTTTAGTTTTGCTGTTTCCTTCCCTGTGCAGAAGCTTTTTATTTTGATGAGGTCCCAATAGTTCATTTTCGCTTTGGTTTCCCTTGCCTCTGGAGATGTGTTCAGTAAGAAGTTGCTGCGGCCAAGGTCAAGGGGGTTTTTGACTGCTTTCTCCTCAAGGATTTTGATGGCTTCTTGTCTTACATTTAGGTCTTTCATCCATTTTGAGTTTACTTTTGTGTATGGTTTAAGAAAGTGCTCCAGGTTCATTTTTCTGCATGCCACTGTCCAGTCTTCCCAGCACCACTTGCTGAACAGACTGTCTTTATTCCATTGGATATTCTTTCCTGCTTTGTCAAAGAGTAGTTGGCCATACATTTGTGGGTCTATTTCTGGATTCTCTATTCTGTTCCATTGATCTGAGTGTCTGTTCTTGTCCCAACACCATACCATTTTGATGATTACAGCTTTGTAATACAGCTTAAAGTCTGGGATTGTGATGCCTCCTACTTTCGTTTACTTTTTCAAGACTGCTTTGGCTATTCAGGGTCTTTTCTGGTTCCAGACAAATTTTAGGATTGTTTGTTCTAGCTCTGTCAAGAATGTTGGTGTTATTTTGACAGGGGTTTCATTGAATATGTAGATTGCTTTGGGTAGTGTTGACATTTTAACAATATTTGTTCTTCCTACCCAGGAGCATGGAATATTTTTCCTTTTTTGTGTGTCTTCTTCAATTTCTTTCTGTTGCTTAATTATTGGCATATAGGAATGCAACCAATTTCTGTGCATTGATTTTATATACTGCCACTTTGCTGAATTCATGGATCAGTTCTAGCAGTTTTCTGGTAGAATCTTTTGGGTTTTCCATATAGAGTATCATGTCATCTGCAAAGAGTGAAAGTTTGACCTTCTCATGGCCGATTTGGATGCCTTTTATGTCTTTGTGTTGTCTGATTGCTGAGGCTAAGACTTCCAATACTATGTTGAATATCAGTAGCAAGAGTAGACATCCCTATCTTGTTCCTGATCTTAGGGGGAAAACTCAGTTTTTCCCCATTGAGGATGATATTAGCATTGGGTCTTTCATATATGGCTTTTATGATCTTGAGGTATGATCCTTCTATCCATACTTTCTTGAGAGTTTTTACCAAGAAAGGATGCTGTATTTTGTCAAATGCTTTTTCTGCATCTACTGAAAGGATCATTTGGTCCATGTTCTTTCTTTTATCTATGTGTTGAATCACATCGATATTTGTCCAGATGGCCAATTTTATGGCATATAATTACTTATAATATTCTCCTATTATTGTTTGTATTTCTACGGTGTTCGTTGTGATCTCTCCTCTTTCATTCTTGGTTTTATTTATTTGGGTTATGTTCCTTTTTCTTTTTGATCAAACTGGCTAGTGGTTTATCAACTGTTAAATCTTTCACTGATTTGTTCTACTTTTTTTTTTTTTTTTTGGTTTCAATAGCATTGATTTCTGCTCTCATCTTTATTATTTCCTGTCTTCTGCTGGCTTGGGGTTTTATTTGCTGTTCTTTTTCCAGTCTTTTAAGTTGTAAGATTAGTTTGTGTATCTGAGACCTTTTTTCCTTCTTTAGGAAGGCCTGGATTGCTATCTACTTCCCTCTTATGACCACCTTTGCTGCATCTCAGAGGTCTTGGGCTGTGGTGTTATCATTTTCATTGGCTTTCATGTGCTTTTTAATTTTCTCTTTAACTTCTTGCTTAGCCCATTCATTCCTTAGTAGGCTGTTCTTTAGTCTCCAAGGATTTGTTATCTTTCCAATTTTTTTTCCTTGTGGTTGATTTCGAGTTTCATAGAATTGTGGTCTGAAAATATGCACAGTATGATCTCAGTTTTTTTGTACTTGTTGAGGGCTGATTTGTGTCCCAGTATGTGATGTATTCTGGAGAACATTCCACGTGCACTGGACAAGAATGTATACTCTGCTGCTTTAGGATGAAATGTTCTGAATATATCTGTTAAGTCCATCTGGTCCAATGTGTCATTCAAAGCTATTGTTTCCTTGTTGATTTTCTGTTTAGAGGATATGTCCATTGCTATAAGTGGGGTGTTGAAGTCCTCTACTATTATAGTAATATTATTAACGAGTTTATGTTTGTGAGTAATTTATATTTGGGTGCTCTCACATTTGGAGGATAAATGTTTACAATTGTTAGGTCTTCTTGGTGGATAGACCCCTTAATTACGATATAATGCCTTCTTCATCTCTTATTACAGTCTTTATTTTAAAGTCTAGATTGTCTAAGTATGGCTACTACAGCTTTCTTTTGTCAACTATTAGCATGAGAGACAGTTCTCTATCCCCTTACTTTCAATCTGAAGGTGTCTTTAGGTCTAAAGTGGGTCTCTTACAAACAGCATATAGATGGATCTTATTTTCTTATCCATTCTGTTACCCTAGGTCTTTTGATTGGAGTATTTAATTCATTGACATTTAGAGTGAGTACTGAAAGATATGAATTTATTGCCATTATGTTTCTTGTACAGTTGGAGTTTCTGGTGGTGTTCTCTGGTCCTTTCTAGTCTTTGTTGCTTTTGTTTTGTTTTATTTTAGTATTTTCACCCCCCAAGAGAGACCCCTTAAAATTTCTTGCAGGGCTGGTTTAGTGGTCACAGATTCCTTTCCTTTCTGTTTCTCGGGGAAACTTTTAATCTCCCCTTCCAATTTGAATGACAGCCTTGCTGGATAAAGAATTCTTGGCTGCATATTTTTCTGATTCATCTGAATCAGAATCTGAATATATCTGAATATATCCTGCCACTCCTTTCTGGCCTGCCACATTTCTGTGGATAGGTCGACTGCAAACCTGATCTGTCTTCCCTTGTAGGTCAAGGATGTTTTTTCCCTTGCTGCTTTCTTTATTCTTTCCTTGCCTATTTTGTGAATTTGACTATGATATGCCTTGTTGATGGTTGGTTTTTGTTGAATCTTATGGAAGTCCTCTATTTCTGTTTTTTTTAAGTTGCATGTTCCTCCACTGTGAGGATGTATCATGTGAGTTGTTTATAATCTTCTACTATTACAAATAATAATATAATGAATAGCCTCATATACATCACTTTTGTATTTTTTCACTATAACCCTGGATTCAATTTCTAGAAGTGAAATTCCTGGATCAAAAGATAAATGCATATATAATTTTGCAGATATTGCCAAACCCTCTTCCATAGAGACTGTACTGTCTTGCATTCCCATAGCAACATATATGTGACTATTTTCCCTAAAGCCTTGCTGTTATACAGGCTTCCTAATGTTCAGATGTTGCCAATCTTAATGAAAAATGTTATCATTCAACCCCTAAAATTACTGATGGGGAGCCTGGGTGGCTCAGTCAGTTAAGTGTCCAACTCTTGGTTTTGGCTCAGGTCATGATCTCCCATTTTGTGGGATTGAGCCCCATGTCAGCTGTCAGTGCAGAGCCAGCTTTGGATTCTCTCTCCCTCTTTCTCTGCCCCTTCCTCACTAGCACGCACGTGTGTGCACACATGTGCACAGTCAAATAAAACAACAACAAAAACCCACTTAGAAGCACAATATATACTGTATATATATATTTTCCCTAGTTTTTCTGTGTATGCACATGCACACACCCCCTTCATTTTTTACCCTAGACCATTTGAAAGTCAAACATGACACTTCACCCCTAAAAACTTCATTATTTCATCTCCTAAGAATAAGGGAAATTCTATAATTACTGAGGACATAGTCATCATAAGCTATAAAACTGTGAAAAGAAAATTCCACAGAGAGGAAAGTAAATTTTTAAAAGCACTTATATTTTGCCTTGGAATTCTTCTGGATAATAATATTTGGATATTCAGCATTCTTTTAAAAAATATTTTTTTAAGTTTATTTATTTTGTGAGAGCAAGAACATACAAGCGGGGGAAGAATGGAGAGAGAGAGAACCCCAAGCAGGCTCCATACTCTCAACACAGAGCTCCATGCAGAGCTTTAACTCATGAACCCAGAGGTTAGGGCCTGAGCTAAAATCAAGAGTCAGAGGCTTAACTAACTGATCCACCTGGGCACCCCGAATATCCACCATTCTTAAACACAATAATTAGAAAACATGACCCCAGAACAAATGTGAAGTCTGTTAAACTCCAATTCCAAATCTCTATTCCTCATAATACATATTTATAAGGCCACTCTCCCTGAGATTGCAGAATGTTTATCCTTTTACTTATATGAATAAAAAGCACTAACTTAGGAAGGCAAACCCTCTTAGTCTACTATCTGTGCCAGAAGAACCATGCAGACTTCAGGATAAGTACATTAATTAAAAAATAAATAACACAAAATCAGATAATCTGCTGGCAAGTAGGAACTAATTATATCAATACAAGAAAAAAAATCACAAAATTAAGATAGTAAGGATAAAATCATTAATACCATCATAGTTTAATATTTTATTTTAATTGAAGAGAAGACATTCCAAATTTTTAAAATCTACTTCTTTTCTTGCTCTACAGCATACATAATATCCATTTCTAATCTTTTATCAGCTTAAAATAAAATGTTAATGCATTTCAAAACTTCCAAAAATTTTAACTGGGGGAGGGCACCAAATCTAACCTTATTCTGTAGAGGACTAAAAAATACTATAAAAAAATAACTTTATCAGTTAGATTCAACTTACCCTTTCTGTCACAGAAAACTGATGGGTGTCTGCTGAAATTTTATATGTATGTAGTTTTGTTGGCACAACTGTAATAAAATATTGGAACATCTGGTTGTCTAGAATAAAAACAAAATTTTTTTCCATCAATCCAATAGCGACAATACTACTGCCAAATACACCCTCCTTCTTTCTATTATATATGCTTAACTTGAAATTTAATGCTACTGATGACAGTGTTTAACAAAAAAAAGTTTTAAACAATCAATGAAAGCTATATACTCATACTTGTAAACAAGTTCTCAGTAAGCATAAAATAGTCATGTATACACATCTATTAGTTGTTTAAAAACATGGGGTGCCTGGGTGGCTCAGTTAGTTAAGGGTCTGACTCATTAATTTCAGGCTCAGGTCATGATCTCACAGTCTTGAGACCAAGTCCCAAGTCAGGATCTGCACTGGGCAAGGAGTCTACCTAAGATTTTCTCTCCCTCTCCTTCTGCCCCTCCCCAACTCACACTCTGTCTCTGTCTCTCAAAATAATGTAAAAAAAATGAACTAGTCATTAGATACCTTTTACAACATTATTATCCTTTTATCAAATATGAAAAATAAAAGTAACATTTCTTTATAGTACAGAAACTAATGAGAATAAAATTATAATAGTATAACCACAAGACATATTTTCAGTTTTTATTAATATCTTAAGATATACAAATAAACCAAATTAGCCAGACTTTGGATGCATACAAGGAATGGATACCAAAGGAGGAAGATAACGAACCTACTACCCCATGGTGGTCTAAGATTATTGCATAATCAAAAGGATCATATTTATATAGTCTTTTTCTTAATAGTTTATTTATTTTTGAGACAGAGAGACAGAGCATGAATGGGGGAGGGGCAGAAAGAGAGGGAGACACAGAATCTGAAACAGGCTCCAGGGTCTGAGCTGTCAGCACAGAGCGTGATGAACCCATGAACCGAGAGATCTGACCTGAGCTGAAGTCAGACGCTTAACTGACTGAGCCACCCAGGTGCCCCATATTTACACAGTCTTTAGGCATTTCTAAGTTTAATACAAATCATCAATAGCAGTGTATTACCAATTATTAATTAACCTTAAACAGGTAACAGTTCACATAATACAAAACAGGCTAATTTTCTAGGTCTATAGTGTAGAAAATTTAGAATTAGATATATCTATCTAGAGTTTCAATTAGATAAGCAATAGGCCCCATTACATTTGACATGAAAACAGATGTACTTCATATCACATGAAAATAACTCTCTATGGAAACTACAGGAATAAAATACACCAGTTTTAAATATATGGTCTGCTAAATTTTAACAAATGTCTCTGCCCAACACTGTCAAAATATAAATATTTTTACCACCTCAAAAAGTTCCTCCATTACCTTTTGCGGTCAGTACCCTGTATTTCTGACCCCAGGCCGACCACTAATCTAGCTTCTGTCATCACAGATTAGTTTTGCCTATTCTAGAATTTCATATGAATGCAAGTATACAGTAAGTACTTTTGTGTGTCTATCTTCTTTTGCTCAATGTTAATGAATTTTTATTTCTATCATTCCAATTTCTCTGTCCCTTATCTCAATGTAATTTAGAACGGGGTGGGGGGGAAGCATAAACTATAGATAGGAGGGAGAGGTTAAGAGTAACGATGTCTCAAACATGAATATTAACAGGTTTCTGACAAAATAAAGTAAAACCTGTTTCAACTTTGCTTACTTCACCTACCATCTGTATGTACCACTATAACTTTCAAATACATGAACAATGTTTGACTAGTTCTTTTATTATTAATATCAACATAATAGACTGAACATTACAGATAAGATTAGGAAAGAAGACTGTCAACTCTGTCTACCACCAATAGTTGGCTTATTAATTGTGGGTGGTTTTCAGTTTCATCCCTTGATGTAAAATGAATTGCTTCGTCTGTGCTCAGTTTTGAGGTGTTTTACAAATAAACTCTACTTTGTTGTAAACAGAGGTAGTGAGCTGGAAGTGCTAAGAGAAAAAGGCATTTAAGTATTACATATTAATGAAAAAAAGATGAAAATGAGAGCAGTGAGACAATAACCTATGCTATAGACATGAGTGGGATAATTACTTGGGGGACAATATGAAGGACAAAGAGAATCTTACTACCTGTGAGGAGTGAAGCACAATGAATATTAACCATAAGGGTCAATGAAATATGACATGAAAAATTAGAAAGCATTTAAGTTGTGGCCAGAGAACTACTAAAGACCTATTTGCCAATGTTAATTCAAGAAAAGGCTATAAATTGGTTAGTTAATTTAATGGCTAGGTTTAGGGGTGGGGGTAGGGTGGAGCAGCAGTTGAATGAAGTTTTGTTGCAAGCCACAAATTGTTCCAAATGCTGTGTGTCTGTCCAAATTGGTACAGATTTCACGATGTAAGTAGTAAGTGATCCCCTCAAAACTTCTGGGGAACATCCAAGGAGTGGTTACCTGACACATCACATTTGTAATGCTGATTTTCTTTTTTCTTTTTGGAAAATGAAGCCCAATAGAACATATATTACTAAGGAGAAGTGTGCACCTGCTTTAAAGCTTTGAGTAACCTACTGATACTCATCTGGTAGCATTTTATAACATAACTCTAAAAATCTCTTAGTCTTTGTGGATTTAGGAACAAGTAAACTCAAAAAGAGCCTTTGGAAAATTAATGTAGAACTGATTATGTACAAAAATTCAAATTCATTTTAGCATCCTGAAACCAAGTATTAACCAATATGTTTTCAAATGATCCTCTCATAAATAACATTTAGTGTATTTCTGTATACAACAAACATACACATAAGAATGAGATTATATACTGATAATGCTTATAATTCTCAGAATATTTCTAGTCACACATTTCCAAATTTAGTACACTCAAATTTCCTTAAGTGAAGCAGCTCCATACAAACAAAATACTCAGCAATGCAAGTCAGGATTCTAAGTAAAACACCTTTGATGTATCTGACTCTAACACTATGCTACAAGAGTAAAATACTGAAAATAATATTAATAAATCTACTTGAATTAATAAAAAATGAAATCCTTAATTATAGTTTTGCAAAGGCTAGAATTCCTAATAGCATGAACCCTTTGCACACCTTTAAAAGGTCCTATGGGTGGGGCATGTCATACAGGACTATTTCAGTAGAGGAAAGGCAACCAAAAACCTTCAAGAAACACAAGATAGACTGCTTGTTATAAAATTAAGAAAATAATCCATCCATATTTGGATAAACTGATATTTTTTTTTCCCCATTCCAGCTTTTATTTTTTTATTTTTATTTTTTTTTACAAATAGTTTATTGTCAAATTAGTTTCCACATAACACTCAGTGCTCATCCCCAAAGTGCCCTCCTCCATGCCCATCCCCCCTACCCCCCACATCCATCAGTCCTCAGTTTTTGTCAGCATTCAAGAGTCTCTCATGGTTTGCCTCTCTCCCTTTCCCCCACCATTTCCGCCCTTCTTCTCCCCCTTGTTCCTCCGTCAAGTTCCTCCTAATCCTCCTATACGTGCAAACATGATATTTGTCCTTCTCTGCCTGACTTATTTCGCTCAGCATAACACCCTCAAGGTCCATCCATGTTGCTACACATGGCCAGATTTCATTCTTTCTCATTGCCATGTAGTATTCCATGGTATAGATAAACCACATCTTCTTGATCCATTCATCTGTTGATGGACACTTAGGCTCTTTCCATGTTTTAGCTATTGTGGAGAGTGCTGCTATGAACACTGGGGTACATATGCTCCTATGCCTCAGCATTTCTGTATCCCTTGGGTAAATTCCTAGCAGTGCTATTGCTGGGTCATAGGGCAGTTCTACTGTTAGTTTCCTGAGGAACCTCCACACTGTTTTCCAGAGGGGCTGTACCAGTTTACATTCCCACCAACAGTGTAGGAGGGTGCCCGTGGATAAACTGATATTTTAAATGGAATAGAAGATTCAAACAGTAATAAAAGGGATCTATGCCATTAATGTACCACTTCTGACTGTGTTAATAACCAAACTATTCTAGAAAAACTCCAAGTTTCTGATGTTTGTAAAATTCCCCAAAGAGGTTTCTAAAATGGTAAATATGCATTTTAGAACTCTGAACCTATACAAAGGAAACATTTCTTCTTATAATGTTGCAACTTTCTTTAGTTCTTATTCTTTCTTTAGTGCCCTATTAGGAGTTATGCCCTATTAGCACATTAACCTTTCCTATATTTAGAGAGCTTTTAAATTCAACTCTTTCTCTTGCCTGTTATTCTAATTTCTTCTTTTGTTATGGTTCATTTTTTAACATTTAAATTTTACCCAATAGTAGGACAAATTCTCTCTTACACACCTTACCATATAAAATTATCAATCACTTAATTCTTATCTATTTATTACAAGGGGCTAAAGAGAATTATTAAAAATATGTTAATATTAAAGTTACAAAAACAATTCCTACATACAAATTCCAATAGTAATTATTAAATACTTACGGTCTACAGCAATTTTTTCAGTTCCATCCAAAGGATTAATAATTCCTGGAACAAGCTCTCCAAAAGACAAATGATCTATTCTGTGAGAAAAGTTGTAAGCTAAGAAGAATAAAACAAAATTAAGTACAGAAATTAAATTATTCAAAACTATATATTACAGATTGGTTCACATTCCTATCTAATCTTAAATAAAAATATCTCAATCTTCAGATATAATAATACAGTATTTAAAACCATATTATTTTGAGAAAATGCGTATCAATATGTGGAATTAAATGTATAATGGTAAGCACATTCTGATAAAATGCTATATCTTAAATTTCATAATTACATACAAATTAACTTCTATGAAATATTACATCTAATCTTGATAATCAAAGATAATAATGAGTCTTTCCTGGCCCATATCTTTATATAGCAATAGGACGTGTTGTTAGAACAAATGGAATGATTTCCATGTAGCCAAATAATGAAACTGATCAGATATATTTTTAATGCACACCATTGCTACATGTGACAAACTGACTTCTTATGGTTTTTGTTACTTGGTTTTGTTCTCTAAGACAGACTTTAAAAACTAAGTTTCATGACAATCGTTACACAAAACTTGAATACTTTATATGTATGCATGTGTCCATTTACATATTGAAATAAACTTCAAATAGATTCCCTTCATTATCCATAAAATTTAGCAGAAATGTGTTCCAAGTAATATAAAGCACACTAAGGCTCTGCTCCCTAACCCCAGCAACTTCTGAGCTATAAATAAATAGAAACACAGGTAATTTAAAGAGAAAATGGATTAGAGTCAATAAATTTAATCATTTATTTTCTCCTTTGGATATTTGTTTTGACAACAGCCCACTTTTAAAATACTCCTTGCATCTGCATTCAAAACAAAACAGAACAAAACCCCCCACACTACACTGTTTCTCAATGACATCTTCAGGGAAAAAATTTCGGAAACTGCTTACAGTCATGGTTGACAAGCGCTGCCAAGTGTGCATGACCTCGGGGATGTGGAATTGCCCTGAAAGGAAGAAAAAAAGATTAAGTCATGATATTTAAATATATAACTAAAATCAAAAAGGGGATCTTTCCTAAGTTATACAATTTTCTTAATATATAATAAAAACATGTTCGTCCTATGATTTAAGTAGCTAAGTCTACTCATCTCAGCCATGCAATAAACTGGGGGCTGGCAAACTGTTTCTGTGAAGTGCCAGACGGTAAGTATTTTAGGCTTTGTGGGCCAATATGCAGCACTTAAAATATATGTAGTTAGTTATACAAGAAGAAAATTTTTCACGAACCTTTCTCAATGATATATTTTTTGAGAGAGAATAAGCAAGCGTGCGTGAATGGGGAGGAAAGGGGTAAGGGATGGAGGGAGGGTGGAGGGGAAGGGAGAGAGAGAGAGACAGAATATGAATGAATAAGAATCTTAAGCAGACCATGCCCTGCATGGAGCCACACATAGCACTTAATCCCACAACCCTGGGATCATGACCTGAGCCGAAATCAAGAACTGGACTCTTAACCAACTGATCCAGCCAGGTGCCCAAACTCAGTAATAACTGAGTACTTTTTTTTGTAGTTCAGGTATTTTTACTGGGAGATAACCTTTCGTTAATTAGAATTTAGAGTTAGGGTTCCCTATTTTCAAAATTTATCACAAAGATTTATTTGTTATGATTATCTGTAATGAAATATTGTATATTTCATCTTTGAAAATATTAATCCATGAGTATATCTTTTAATGGAATATTCATTGCTTGGACAGAACTCTTTTATGTTCTTTTCTTGGTATTTCCTTCTGTGTTACGTAACACAGATTGATCACTTGCAATTTAAGGTGGAATTTCTTTAAGTACACAGTTAAATGGATTTTGAAACATGTAAATTTCCTTTGTACCTGATAACATGTCAGGAACTATAGTTTGAGGTTGGAAAATATATACAAGTATAAGAATGGAGATCTCGTTTCATGTTTTAACTTTTGACAACGCAGGCTGCCAAAGCATGGGGAGCAAGGAAAACCTCTTAAAATCATTTGATGTTACTTAACATTGAAATAACTTTACCACAATATGAGTTTCATATATAAACAATGCTTTTGCTTATAATTTTAGGCTAACCTCACTGAGAAACATTATCCAATCTGCACAAAACTTAACTTTCAAAGCTATTCAGTGTTCAATAATAATGGTTGACAATAGTTTTCTTATTCAGAAAAATCTCAATCTTGGCCCCGAGCTCCAAAATCACAAAAAAATCTTTACCACTGCTAAGCTGTCAAGCTGTTATGTAGTAGGGCAAGTTGTATAGCTTTTCTTTCTGACAAGTTCATGAAAATGACAATGTTTATGTCCATGAGACCAAATGAAGTTCACCATCAACACTATCAGTTCAATAATACATGCCAGATGCAGATTTTTCTGTGAAGTACTGCTGATGATACAGTGGATAACAACAGGCTTTAAGCACCTTACATTTTCACAGGCTTTGAAAATTTATCCATGTAAGCCTTTTTCTGCTTCATACATTTTTACTGCCAGCAACACACTGATGTTCTCTCAATTTCTTTAAAAGTATTTGTCTACAGTTGCTCCACACAGGCTATTCACAGACAGTAATTCGTCAATCGCTTGAAACTCACATAATTGACTCCAAAAAAAAATCAACAAGCAATATTAATAACTCCTGTTCACTCATCAAGAGCTAAGGAAACCCACTCAGTGCCACCTGCCATGCTTTTTAACTGACTATTGGCTACTATTCTCAATGTCCTCAGTTGCTAGAGCACTTTTCTCACCAAAAAGCTAACCATCCAAAGCCAGTCTGTTTTCCCCGGGTGCATTTCTTTGGTTGGTGCACACACACACAATTCTATCAGCCCACCAGTAAGTGGCTTTCCTTCCTTAGCATTAGCTAACCATGAATCACGTGTAAACTTAACTGTGTTTGCAGTCCTCAGTTTCATTTTCTATTCTTACGAAAAAATGCTGCTTGTGTTTAGATATTCCCATTTTAAATTTTTTAATTTTTTCCAAGAGTTAGTGATGCTGTCATGAGTGCTTAATCTGATAATATGACATGTCCTGTATCCATATAGCATAGCTATAGCGTCATCAGTATGTACATCAGTTATGTAATACACATACTGTACACTAAGGTCAAGTTTGATGAAATAATCCACACTCCACTGTGCCTTAAAAGTATATCTGAAACCCATAATTCTTTTTCTTTTCTGACAGAGTAACACAATTAATAAAGACAATGCTGTGGGACAATACACAGGGCATCTGTAATGCTGTCAGGCTGTAAATGTCAGAACTTGTTCTAATTTGTAGTGCACCCCGAGTAGCAGCACAGAGTGAGGAGTCATGTACAGTCTTTGTCACAATTACTCAGTTCTCATACTGTAATGTGAAAGTAGCCACATGTAAACAAGTAAGCATGACTGTGTTCCAGTAAGACTTGATTTCTGGACAGTGAAATCTGAATTTCGTATATGTTTCATGTGTTATGACATATAGTTCCATGTGATTTTCAGTGAAGGAAAGATTGTTTTGAAAACTGGAGGGTTGGGAGGAGGCACTTCTGGCTGTCACAATTATGGGGGCGGGGGGAGGAGTCACTATTGGCATTTATTCGACAGCAGCTAGGGAAGCGAGGCATGCTGCAATGGAGGGACAGTTCCCACACAAATACTGCCCCCATCTTGCATGACTTCCAAACACCTTAAGTGGCATTCATGAAGGTGAAAAACGTATGAATAATGATCTGAGTCTAGAACTTAACTCCTTTAGCTACACAAAGTACTTTGTTGTAGTTTCAACATACACTAAATTTCCTAGGAAATGGAGAAAATATTATACTGTTTTGTTCGCAGTACTAGAGAATTGTTCCCTATTTCAGAATCAACAGAAATACCATTCATGATACTTCAATGGCCAATACATCTGTTTCATTCTGCATCTGCAGCTGATATATACCTAATGATTCTACATGAAAGTGGTAAGCCTCTGCCTATTCCATTAACTTATCTAATGTATTCATGCTCAAACATTGCATATTGAAATACATACTATTATGTTACAAATCATGTTCTTTTTATTTCTCCTTTATATTACAGTTGATAATGATATTCTATCTGAGAAAGTAACATGAGATCTTCAAAAAGATCAATATTGAACTTGGTAAAACTAATACCAAAAATTAGGAGCTGATTTATAAGATATGCCAGAGATAAGGATAAGATACAAACCAAATACCTTCCCATCTGGTCTCCCTTATTCATGGCATGAATTATCACATGGAGCGAGAAGTGGAATTTGGAACCAAGGCCATATAGTATAGAGGCTCATAAAATATAAGTCAAAGTTACCCTCTTTCTCTTTCAGTTAGTTTGGGTGGAGGATATTGTTTGTATCCATAAGAGCAATAAAATCTTCTAAATTTCTTTGAGCCAACTATTATCTGTTGTCTGCATGATATCAAGAAATTCTAAGGTTCCCAGCTACAGAATCGATCCTGGCAACAGTAAGAAAACAACAAAACATGAATGTCAAGAAGAATGGGACAGAAAGACAAATGTTTGAGCTCATCATTGTAAACACTGAAATAATATCGCATAAAAGACTTTTTCTATTTATCTGTACATGTAACAAAAAAAAATCTCTAGTAATGTTTTCTCCTGCTTTATGGTCTTTCCCTCAGTCTGGATGCCCTTCCTGCTTTATATATAAAATTCCTAATCTTTCCACTAGTGTTCAAAGGTTTTTCTCAATAAGACCTCTGCTGATGTGCAGGGTTAAGTCTAATACCCTGTTATATAGTTTCTTATCAGCCATACTTCTATAGCTTCAAAACAACTATAATTAAATAATTACTAGTGTAATTCACTGTTCAAAGTTTGAATTCTCTCACAGAATGTCAGCATCATAAAGGCAAAACACTTTCTCCCTTAGTATCTAGCATGGCACTGTGCACATAGCAAGTACTCAAAAAACGTCTTTTATAATGAAGGATTGCTCAGCCCTGCAACTCCAGATGGAAGGAAGGAGGGAAGGAAGGATGAGAGGGAGGAAGGTAGAGAGGGAGAGAGTCAGAGAATATATTTATTCAGAACTTTACCAAGTATTTATATCATATGACAGTATCTATACTGGTGCTGCTCAAGAAGGTAGATCATCTGATATTTTTCCTTAATCTCTACATACTTTATCTCTGGCACTACAAATTTCTAATTACATCAAAATAGTTGTCTCAAATTCATCAGGGATTACATTTTGATGACAATCAGTCGGACTTCGGCTCAGGTCATAATCTCGAAGTCCATGAGTTTGAGCCCCACGTCACGTTCTGTGCTGGCAGCTCAGAGCCTGGAGCCTATTTCGGATTCTGAGTACCTCTCTGCCCCTCCCCCACTCAAGCTCTGTCTCCCTCTGTCTCAAAAAAATAAAAATAAACATTAAAAAAAAGGAAAAACAAAACAAAAACCTAATGCCATCCAACCACATGAACAAATTTATGAATTGTCTAGGTAAGAGCTTCCTGGCTACTAATACTTGGCAAGTAGATTTTCCTCCATATCCACTTACAGCTCATTTAATTTATAAACTATAATATGACTGTTGTACTTTTGTTTTGAAGTAGTTTTAAAAGTTAGTAGTCTCCCTGGGGCAGCTGGGTGGCTCAGTTGGTTGTACATCCGACTTCGGCTCAGGTCATGATCTCAGTTCCTGGATTCGAGCCCCAAGTCAGGCTCTCTGCAGTCAGCACAGAGCCCACATCAGATCCTCTGTCTCCCTCTCTCTGCCCCTCCCTTGCTCACATGCACATACACAAACATGCACTTGATCATGCTCTCTCTCTAAAAAATAAACATTAAAAAATAAATAGGGGCACCTGGGTGGCTCAGTCTGTTGAGTGTCCAACTTGGGCTCAGGACATGATCTCACTGTTCAAACTCCTGAGTTCAGGCCCGTGTTGGGCTCTGTGCTGACAGCTCAGAGCTTAGAGCCTGTTTGAGATTCTGTGTCTCCCTGTCTCTGCCCCTCCCCCACTTGTGTGTGCGCTCTCTCTTTCTCTCTCTCTCTCTCCCTCTCAAATAAACATTAATGGGGCACCTGGGTGGCTCAGTCTGTTGAGCATCCGACTTCAGCTCAGGTCATAATCTCGCTGTTGGTGGGTTCGAGCCCTGCATCAGGCTCTGTGCTGACAGCTCGGAGCCTGGAGCCTGTTTCAAATTCTGTGTCTCCCTCTCTCTCTGCCCTTCTCCCACTCGTGCGCGTGCGCATGCATGCATGCAGGGACGCTCGCGCTCTCACCCTCTCTCTCAAAAATAAATAAATATTAGGCAAACCACAAGAGACTCTTAAATACTGAGAACAAACTGAGGGTTGATGGGGGTGGGGGAGAGGAGAAAATGGGTGATAGGCATGGAGGAGGGCACTTGTTGGGATGAGCACTGGGTGTTATATGGAAACCAACTTGACAATAAACTATAACAAAAAAAATAAACATTAAAAAAATTTTAAATAAATAAAATTTAAAAAATAATAAACATCAGGGCGCCTGAGTGCCTCAGGCAGTTAAGCATCTGACTTCAGCTCAGGTCAGGATCTCACAGTCTGTGAGTTTGAGTCCAGCATCGAGCTCTGTGCTGACAGCTCAGAGCCTGGAGCCTGCTTCAGATTCTGTGTGTGTCTCTCTCTCTGCCCCTCCCCTGCTCACGCTCGGTCTCTCTCTCTCTCTCTCTCAAAAATGAATACATGTAAAAAAATTTTTTTTAATAAACATTAAAACTTTTTTAATAAAGAAAGTCAGTAGTCTTCTCTATCCTGAGACTGAAGCCCTGAATGTAAGTCTCAAAACGTCAAAAATACAGACACAAAACATTGTAAATAGTCCTTTAGTGGTTATATGTTATTTGACTGGCAAAGAATTTACTTTTAAACCAAGCTGCCAACTTGTCTAAAGTATTTTCAGTAAGTTAAAAGAACATACTTGCCCACAGTTATGTGAAAATTCCCCGCTACTTTATTGACATAGAGATGACCATGAATTCTGCAAGCATCTGGCGGCTGTGATGAATCATCTTCCCTGTTACAACACGAGAGGAAGGGTTACTTATGGCACACTCAACACAGTCACCATCCTGGGGCAGGAGCATTTTGTAGAGGGAAAAAAATCCCTGGAAATCAATTTTTAGGTAATGTTCTAAATGTCAAAAGTACAACAGCAGTTTTTTGAAGTCTACACATTTATAAAAACTCATATTATCTACAAAGTAGAAAAAATTACATAATTATATATATACAATTATATTCATATATATATTATAACTATATTATACATATATATGGTCACACAAGTTATAGTCACACAAATCTAAAATTCCAAGGATTCCATGGTTCTTCATATCTGACCAAAGGACTAAGGCCCATAAGAGAAGAAAGATTAAAAGAATTAGTCCAATAAAAACATACTTTTGTCAGCTGTTGCTGGTACTGTAGGGGACAGAGGAAGATGGAAGTAAGAATGAGGGAAGGCATGCCATCTAAGTTCAAATAGAAAATGACATCTTCTTCCCAAGCAAATGTCAAACCTCTGAACGGTTTTAAATTCAAATGATCATTTTCATGATCACAGCATTTCTAAATATCACCTATTCTAACCTATAAAAGAGAAAAAAGTGAAATAAAAGCAAACTTCCTAACCAAAGTTTCTACATCCTCATGAAATAACCACAAAAGCAATTAACTAGTTCTTAAGACCTAATATAATTTTATATGGAAGTTATGTCATACACCCATAAGAGAAAAATTAAATGAAAATGAAATAACATTATTTGTGATAATCCTGATCATTATCACAGGCTATAAATTTAAGAGTAAAAGAAATCTTCATACAGAATGATTACATCTTGTCTAAGAAATAGGAGATCCAGAGAACTAAACTAATACTAAAACTCATAGTAAATTGCTAATAAATAGCTGTACATTTAAAAATCATATCTCACCTTGGTGGAAGTGCTGTTGATGCACTTTTAAAAGCACTTTTAAAAATCACATCTTGGAGTGAATGTTCCTCTTGAAGTCTACTCTGAACCAGCTGCAGCAGCCTACAAACAACATCAACAAGCAACGGCTACACAGAGACGCAGGTATACAAGAAAGCCAACACTTTTTTCAAATAGCAATGGTTAGCTGACTTACTTAACCCATATATTTATTATTACAGGACTTTATTCTAAAATAAAGTACCAAATTTTCTTTGACCATTTCCTTAAGAGAAGGAAAAGTGACGTAGGGCAGCTAAAGATCTAACAGCTGAGGTCCACAGCCTATCTGATGGCATTAATAATAGGTGTGCGGTCAGGGTCATGAAGGAGGAGCTTCTGCTCACCTGAGTATCTAAACTCCTCTTTCACGCATGCATGCAGTTATTACAAAATTCTCACCTTTTATCAGATACTGAATAAAGTATGACAGGTACAAAGAATAAGGCAAGTAGAACAGATTTGGTGAACTTAAGTGGGAAATTCCTGGGTTATAAACCCATACCAAGAGCATCTAATTCTCATTACAAAATAGGCCATAGTGCCACTTAAAATCACCTGGTATCTCTTTTTCCAAAGAAAAATATTATTCTATGACACCATTCTAAACAAAATATATGCTCTACCTATAATTTTTAAAAGAATATCAGCATATAGGCCTAAAAGACTATAAAACAAAGTATACATTTGAAAACCCATACCTAGATTTTCTTTTTAAATATACCTAGCCCCAGAGAACAAATTAGATGAAGATTTTTAAAAATTTTTTTACAAAATTCTTGTTCACAATAACTTATAAAATTATTTATTCTGAACAACAAAACCAAGGATAACAGGTTTCTCCCTCGCTAACACTTCTCCCATTGGGCCATGTTATTTCCTACCATTTTTAGCAATAACTTTGTATCTTTAAATATAATTCTATTTTACCTCCTTTAATTCTACATCTTTAGGTAACTAAAACCCAAAATCATCCGTATTAAAGCTCAAACTCACCAAGTACAAAAATTATACACAGGGACAAATAGACAAAACACAGGATTTTTAGGACACGGAAACTATTCTGTAGATACTATAATGGTAGACGTGTCATTACACATTTGTCAAAATTCATAGACTGTACAACAGCAAGAGTGAACCTTAAGTAAACTATGGACTTTGGGTGATAATGATGTATCCATGCAGGTTCACAGATTGTAAGGAATATACCACTGTAGTGTCAGGTATCGATAGTGGTGAAGGCTGTGCATAGGGGGGAGGAATGCGGAAGTGGATATTTGGGAATTCTGTACTTTTCACTCAATTTTGCTGTGAATCTAAAGCTACTCTAAAAGATAAAGTCTTCTTTAAAAAGTTTATCTGGGGCATCTGGGTGGCTCAGTCGTTTGGGCGTCCAACTTTGGCTCAGGTCATGATCTCATGGCTCATGGGATCAAGCCCCGCATCAGGCTCTGTGCTGACAGCTAGCTCAGAGCCTGGAGGCTGCTTCAGATTCTGTCTCTCCCTCTCTCTCTGACCCTCCCCTGCCCACACTGTGTCTCTCTCTCTGTCTCTCAGAAATAAATAAAACATTAAAATTTCTTTAATAAAAAAACTTTATGTAAAACTTGGGAAAATTATAAACAAATAAAGGCACTTACAAAAGGAAGCAAATATAAATTTAATCTTTCACTTCCTACCATAAACTTTTTTAGAAATGCAAGTGAAAGATCAAATATGCACCATTCGCTAAAAACATTGGTAAAATAGGTCTATTTAAAATAACAAGGGGTGCCTGGGTGGCTCAGTCGGTTAAGCATCCGACTTCAGCTCAGGTCATGATCTCACAGTTTGCAGGTTCGAGCCCCACATCAGGCTCTGTGCTGACAGCTGGCTCACAGCCTGGAGCGTGCTTCAGATTCTGTGTCTCCCTCTCTCTCTGCCCCTTCCCCACTCATTCTCTGTCTCTCAAAACTGAATAAATGCTAAAAAAAATTTTAAATAACAAGTCATTTTTACACTGTAAATTTAGTTCAGAATAAAACTTAAAATCTAGAACTAAAAAGTACAAATCAAAAAGGCTACGTCTAGGGTTTGAGATTTATTTACTGCTATAGGAGAGAGACTAACTGATATCTTAAATATTTTTAAAAAGCAGAAAACCAACTGAGAGAAAACTTAATCTCTTTTAGCAAAGTTTAAAGGTAAAGAAGCATTTAATATGCAAATTATTCAGGATATTAGTCCCTAGTCCATTGTAGAATATTTGTTTAGAAGCAGAGTTGATAATCTGGGAGGATTCAACAACCAGATCCCATCTTCAGATTTACACGTCTCAAGACTTAAAATCTTTAGATCTAACACTACCAGAAATTGAAAGTTTCTTATTTGTTGTGTGTCTTGTATTTCCAGAGTCCAACTTTAATGCTGAGCAGTGGAAAAAGAGATTGATGATAGTAAACTCTGTGTGTGTGCATATCTGTATAACTTTTGCCTCAAAATATATCAATATCCAAGCTTATATCCCATATATGAAGATATATATAAAGAAAACCAACTCTACTATGATGGAAAACAGCCATCATTTTCATAGTCAAAACACAATATCTTGAACACTGAATAAAATTCCAGATTAAAGGAGGCTTCTCACTTTAATATTTCTGGATTAAAGTAATGTATTTCATCTCTGGATGGCTAGAGCACTTAGAGCACTAGAAGCCAAGAGACAACTACATTTGATTTCAACCTTAATTTTAAAATCTTCCCAAATGAGAGAACTGGAAATTAAAAGAGAAATGCCTTTGAAATGTATGTAGAAAGAAAAAATGGGAAAAAAAAGTTTTTGCAATAATGTTAAATTAGGTAGAGCCTTTGTAAGCATAAGACATAGCCTGGAAACAAAAAAGAAAAAAAAGTACTATATGGGAGCAAGGGTGGAGGAACCATTTATAACAAAGGACTACTTTCTTTAATATACAAGACTATTTAAAATTATTAAGGAAAAAACCAACAACCAAGCAAAATGGGCATAGGGCATGAACAAGCAGTTTCACATAAAAAAATACAACAGGAAAGAAATCCATAAAGATATTCAAGTGATTCATGAAGAAATGTGAATTAAATAAAGCATAATACCATTTTTCACCCACAGAACTGGCAAAAAATACCCACTGTTGGCAAGGTTGTATAGAAACAAGTACTCTTCATTCAGTGGCTCACGCCATTCAGTGGCTAAAATGAACAAATCAGGAGACTATAGATGCTGGTGAGGATGTGGAAAAACGGGCACCCTCCAACACTGTTGGTGGGAATGTAAACTGGTGTAGCCCCTCTGGAAAACGGTGTGGAGGATCCTCAAAAAATTAACAGTAGAACTCCCCTATGACCCAGCAATAGCACTGCTAGGAATTAACTCAAGGGATACAGGGTTGCTGATCCATAGGGGGACATGTACCCCAATGTTCATAGCAGCACTTTCAACCATAGCCAAATCATGGAAAGAGCCTAAATGTCCATCAACTGACGAATGGATAAGGAAGGTGTGGTATATATATACAATGGAATACTACATGGCAATGAGAAAGAATGAAATCTGGCCACCTGTAGCAATGTGGATGGAACCCAAGGGTGTTATGCTAAGCAAAAATAAGTTAGGCAGAGAAGGACAGATACCATGTTTTCGCTCATATGTGGAACAGGAGAAACTTAAGAGAGGACTATGGGGAAGGGGAAAAATAGTTAAGGAGAGGGAGGGAGGCAAACCATAAGAGACTCTTAAATACTGAGAACAAACTGAGGGTTGATGGGGGTGGGGGAAAGGGGAAATGGGTGATGGGCATGGAGGAGGGCACTTGTTGGGATGAGCACTGGGTGTTATACAGAAACCAACTTGACAATAAACTATAATAAAAAAAAAACAAAGAAAGAAACAAGTACTCTCAGTTTTAGAGTGTAAGTAAAGATATTTTGGCATCACTTATCAAAATGTATTTTTTCATAGTTTTGTTGGTATATACTTGACATACCACATTGTATAAGTTTAAGGTGTACAATAAATGATGTGACACACTTCTATTTTGCGAAATGATTACCCTGTAAGTTAACAACCATCATCTCTCAGAGTTAATTTTTTTCTTTGTGATAAGAACTTATCAATATGCCAATTAAATATCCTCTAAAAGAGAAATTTCATTTCTACGCACACACTCACACATATTCACACCATTATATAAGGAATTAGGTTCAAGAATTTTCATTGAGCATTGTTTCTAATATTAGAATCTTCCAAACAACCTAAATGCCCAGTGATAAGATAAATTAAATAAAAACTATAGTTTATCCATACAACAGAATACTATATGTAGTGAAATGGGAAGATGTCCAAAATACTACACTAGGTAGAAAAAAGCAAGTTCTAGAACAAATGTATGGAAAGATCCCATTTGTATTATGGAAAAAAAAAAAAAGCAAATAGGCAAACATACAGAAAATTATAAATGAACACAAAATTTCCAGAAGGCTACACAAGAAATTTAACTCTGGTTCTAACTGCTAGTCCGCAGCACTAAGAATAATGATGAAGAGGCTTCTATTTTTAATTTATACTATTTACTTCATATCCTTTCTATTTAAATTGAATTTTTTTTAATTTTTTTTAATGTCTTTTATTTATTTCTAGGAGAGAGAGAGAGACAGCGTGAGCAGGGGAGGGTCAGAGAGAGAGGGAGTCACAGACTCTGAAACAGGCTCCAGGCTCTGAGCTGGCAGTCAGCACAGAGCCCGACGCGGGGCTCGAACCCACGAACCGTGAGATCACGACCTAAGCGAAAGTCGGACGCTTAACCGACTAAGCCACCCAGGCGTCCCTAAATTGAATTTTAAATGAGAACATATTGCCTTGAAATTTTTAAAAAATATTTAATAAAATTGTTAGTGAAAACTAAAATGTACTTAGGATTCAAAGTACACTAGAGAAAACATTATACAAAACTCTCCTAAAATTTGACAAAATTTTTGAAATTATAAAGATTAAATACTATATTCTGTTAATATTTCATCCAGAAAAATGTTAATCTATGAATAATTCACAATGGACAAAATAGAGAAAATATGAACTAGATTTCATGGACCACAATACTTTAATCATTACCTCTGCCACTCTTTTTGCTGTGGTGAAAGATCAAATATTACCTGAAATAAAGGAAAACATAATCACTAGCACTGTCAATTTCTCTTGGCTTTTATATCATAATTTTTAAAAAAATTTTAAGAAACAGATTCATAGTATTGGTAAACACAAGTATTCATGATTTACATTTAATCTTCTGTAAGTGAAAAAATACAATCTATAATACTCTTACTCAAAACCAATATAAAGAAATTTTACTAATCATAAATATTTACCTGTTATAGTTACCCACATTTATAGGATTGACTACAAACTGATATCTGTCAATATGTACAAAATGGTATTTTAGGACTTAAAATCATTTAAATGATATTTGCATTAAAATTTTTTATAAAAGAAAAAGAAAAACATAAAGCTCAACTATAATATCCAAGCATCCAAAGCCCATGTTCTTGCCAGAAAAATACCATGATGAAAGCAACAATTTTGAAACAAGCCACACAAATTTCCCTGTAACTCCCAACTGTATGAATAAAAGAAGGAATAAGTCAAGAAATTGTATTTAAGTACTGTCTTCATCAATTCAAAGTCAGACTAGGTGACTTGTAAAATCAGAGGGAAATATGCAAGCTTTTCATGCTTTGTAACAATACCCATAATTTAACTTTGCAATAAAAAGGCCACTTCTGATTTTTATAGATAGTTCATAACAAAGCATATTGATTCTACTTTTTAAGTTTAGGAATATCACTCAGAATCGGGTCCTAACCTACTACTCTCTTTCTATAAAATTCTCAGTTCTTTAATCAAAGTGGAAGAATCATTCATTCTATCAAACAGCTCTACATCTCTGCCTTTGGTAATTTAATTAAACCAACCTGGAAACAACTCCTGTAACTGTGATCCTCATGGCTATCTAAATCCTACACACCATATCTTCCAGGTTAAACTGCCTCCATTTTTCTGATAACAATGAAATTATCTCTGATCACTCCTCCTGCTGAACTTGTCTACAGCATGCTTCCCACCCTTTTTCCCACCATAGCACACTAAGAAAATGCTACCATCTATAAAACACACGGTGGCAAACAGGAGGCTGCATGCATCTGCTTCCCAGGTACCTTGTAAATAAAACTTTTGAAGGTAGGGACTATGTGATTCTTCTTTTGACTTCCCCAAAGTGCTTAGGGTACTGCTTAGCGTGGGGGTAAAGGAACTGCTGAGCAGCCTACTGCATGCTAGGTACTATGCTACTTAATTCACTAATTTCCTCATTGAACCTTCAGAACAAGCTCTGAATTTGTTATTATTCTTGCCTTTTGTGTGTGTGTGTGTGTGAAGAAGTTGTTTGACAATTTAAAATTTTTTTCCAAAATCAGAGACCATAAGAGTCTATATATAAACCGAACTCTGTCAGATTCCTTACTTTTCCACCATTTTTTAAATTCTTTTATGTAAAGAAATAGTAATGAAATATGATAGTAAAGAGCAAAGTAGTAACTCTCATAGCATAATGTGTGATCATGAGTTGGAACCTAGTAAAGTTATTAGGTTTTTAATATTCAGAGCACATTCTAGGACAGTGAGTATGAAAGCATAAAAACAAGTATAAGTTTTCTCAAATAATTTTACATTGGTAAAATGTAAAGGACATTTTGTAAAGGACAAAGAATAAATACTTACCAGAAATATTGCTGAACATTTTTAAAATTACCAATAAAAAGTATACAGTTAAATACTTATAAGTTCCTACCTTTCTGGCCAAGTCCTGACTTTTATTTATATGACAGTTAAATTTAATATGGGGGGGGTGGGGAGAGCGAATCTCAAGCAGGCTCCATGCTCAGTGTGGAACGCAACACAGGGCTTGATCCCATGGCCCTGAGAGCCGAAATCAAGAGTATAGTGCTCAACTGACTGAGGCACCCAGGTGCCCCATAATACCGTTAAATTTAAATAAAACTTTCCTATTCCACAAATGACTGAAAGGGATTACAAACTGTTGACAGTGTAATAATCAACAATCTTGTTACAACTGCATAATTCTAACACATTCCTTAGTGCCTAATATCTGACAAGGCACCTATAATTCACATTTTGTGAAACAAAGAAGAAAGGATAAAGTTAATGCTTCTCAGGAGCTTAAAATGTAGCTAGAGAGACAAGCTCTCCAGAGAATATATATAAACAAAATCAGGGACCTAACAATTCTGAAGAAAAACAGAGTAGGAATAAGAGACACCAGAATAAGGAAAGAATGCTAAAGAAAAAGCACAAGTAAAGTTTAAAGGGCGAGTTAAGTCTCCTCATAATCAAATTTTCACAATGTTTGAAAAAACATAAAATGAAGACACAATCTATATTATCATTTTAAATAATTTTAAATTAGCATCCACATGCTACAAATCATCAAGAAGTTATGCAAGATTGCATACAAGGGAGAAAGGGAAACTAAATTGAGAAGAGAGTCCAATATACAATTTATTTCATGGGACAGAGAAGTTTATATTAGGAAACAAGGAAAGTCCCTAATTCAGAGTAAGAGAGGAAACAGTGATAAAAGATAATAAGACACCCAAGGAAGAAGCAGTCTCCACCCTAGGAGCACTTTCAGGAGTTCAATCAAGTGCCAGAGACCACATGGTGAGGACATTCCAAAGCAGTGTTATTCCTAGCTCATATGTGGCCTGCACAGTGTTCTAAATTAAGCAAGAATGCTGCCACAGCTGGTTGCTAATGAGGATGGTCACATCAGCTAAAGAAAGGAGGAGTTACCATAGCTCAATTTAGCCTGTTGAAACAAACACAGAAGAGGAAATTTGGCAGTGCCCTGGTGGACCACTCCATCATCCTGGACTGAATACCAGCTTCTTCCTTCCTCTTCAAAAGCATCTGAAGGTCTAACATGATTTAAAAGAAATACAGTATAGGGGTGCCTGGGTGACTAAGTCTCCCTCTCTCTCTGTTCCTCCCCTGCTCGTGCTCTGTCTCTCTCTCTCTCAAAAATAAATATTTAAAAATAATAATACAAATAAAAGAAACAGTATATCTAAATTTATACCCTTTCATCTAGGTCTGAAAAAAGTGTGTGTGTGTTGGAGAAGGGGGTTCAGATAGGAACTGACATAACTCAACAGTCTATTTCAACTCTCAATCACTTAAGAGGCCACTTTATCTTCCCATCCTAAAGATAGACAAGAAAATAAATAAATAAATAAATAAATAAATAAATAAATAAGATTCATTAACTTGAAAAAAGTGGTCAATCTCAGGGATGAGGGCTGATACCTGATTTCCTCTATGATACCATTCCTAGGAACAAGAAGAAAAGTGTTAAGTTTTTCCAATTATTTCTCACTGACATTTAGCATCAGGAAGACAGAAAAAAAATGGAATAATCTATGATATATTAAAGATATAGAATATAATCACTGAAATTTAAAATATAATGAAGGCACTGAAAAAAAGACTGGTCATGCTGGATGAAGGTAATCTCCCAGAACTCAGAGAAGTATGAAATACTCATCTAATGTAAGACTTGATAAGGATACTGAGAACCATTCCATGAGATTCAACATCATATGGTAAGAATTTTAAATAGCAGAGGTAAAATCATTGCTTTAAACAAAACTAAAGCAAATGAACAGGTCAAAAAGCATATATATATATATATATATATATATATATATATATAGAAACTTTTAAAGTCAGATCATTAAGATCAACAAGAACCAAAAAACAAACAAACAAAACAAAAACATCCACACCCAAAGGGGATCCACACCTGGATATATGGGATAAATATGTGAACTGCAAAAGTAAAAGAAAAAAAGCATTCAAACGTAAATATGCTATATATGAAGGGAAAATAACTGCATCAGAAAACAGTGAAAGAAAGTCTATAAGTTCTGAATACAAAAAACCATATCCTGAGCCAAACTTACATGTATGAAGAACAGAACGACATAGGCAGTCACGCTAGAGTTTATAAAATATAACCTACATGTTCTTACTGATTAAGAAGTCTCAAAAAGCCCTCTGCAAAATGATGAAAAATAAAGAATGGAATGGTAGATTTTAAAAGCATTAAAACAGTTCAAATTGAATAATTATTCTTACAATAGTATGAAATGTAATACAAACGTCAAAAGTGTCTAATAATTATCGAAATCTACATTTCTAGATAATAGTTTAATATGTGATAATATGGTACCTGAATTTATAAGGTATCTAACCTCATAAAAATCACTGTGAAATCAATTTTTTTGAGTGGGAATACAGGAATTGGGGAGCAGAGAGATTCAGTGTGGCAATAACAAAGTTACCTTTTCTTTAGAAATTTCTACTTAAAAAGTGTGTATCAAAAGGCATAAATATATTTTATTGCTATAAGCTACAAATAATTGGGTAATCAAAACTGACCTAAAGGCTTCCTTTTTTTTTCCATGACAATTCAGCTACTTCTAATCCTCCTCCATCACCTTTAGTCTTCAATTTGCAATTTGCTTAAAGAAGTGTTCACAACTGTCAATGATAAACAAAAGAACTCAAGAATGCATGGGTAAACATAAGTACCACAATGCCAACAAAGCAGTGAGCAACTCCAACTGGCTGGGAGTTCCATTCCTTATTCCCTAAGTGTCCTTAGAGCTGGTTATCATGACTTATCACCTGCTCCTATAATGTATTACCTGCCCCTGTCATGTGGTGATGTTTCTGATAAACTGGTTGTATTACACACAACTTGTGTTATGAAAACAGTAGAATGTCACAATTTCACTAGCTTTACAAAACGGAGATGTGAAGGAGAGAGAAATAAATGCACAGAAAATTTCTCCTCTACATATTGCTTCACTCTTGATTATAAGAGAAATACAGTTCAAACATGTTAAAGACTTAAATCTGGCAAGAGTACAATATAAATAGGACAGAATTTCCAAATCATTTGAAGAAAAGGAGAAAATTTCATTATTAAAGCAACTATAAGAGAAAACTATTAAGAAGCATTAACAAAAAATATAAAACACAAATAACGTTACGAAACAGACTTTGCAGCCTCCAATTTAACAGTGGTTATCTGAAGACTTTGGTATTAGATAACGCCCCCCTCCCAAAAATCTTCATAAAGAATATGAATTACTTTTGAATTAAAAAACAAAAAAGGCTAGCTCATACAAAACTAAAAGCAAATATCAAAACTGTCTTCAAGAAAACAATACCTCAAAGCATATTATTTAAAAAAACGTGCATTAAACTTACTGGTTCATAAACTAGACCATCTGCAGATGCAACCATTGTTTCTGCTAAATCCAATACATCTGCTCCAACATCTGCATAAAAAAATTAGAAGTTTTACATTCTATATTCAGAGCCAAACTATATCAGATATAAAGGAACAAACTGAGATGACTAACAGAAAATTCAAATATATGTGCTCGCTTCGGCAGCACATATACTAGAAAATTCAAATATATAAAATCAGTTTCCTATACCACTTATTTGTTCAAAAGTTAAAACAGTAGCATTACATAGTTTTGGTGGAATGTATTAAAAAATCAAGAATACTTTTTCTAGTTCTTGCTCAGTAAATACTGTAAAGTGTAATACAATCTCAGAATCTTATAGCAAAAAGCATAAACGCCCTTCACTGAACTGAAGAGCTTGGCCAAAATGATCAAGAACCTAATCACAAGTACTAAATGGCTGCTATATGAAATATTAAATATGTGAAATATTAAATATAAGAATTATTTTTAGAAATTAAAAGAAATTTATAGGAGAAAACTACTGACGACTTTTTAAAAATCAACAAATAGAAAAAGTTTATTTTGAAAAGGCTAAAATGTTAATGGTATTCAAACACCTAAACTAAGGCAAAATATGATATATTCAGTAATAACACAAACTCATAGTTTAAATTCTTACTCTTTAAATGACTACCATAAGAAAAAATAAATGTAAAAAGAGGTTTAAAGTTTTTCTCAGATGAAATCTTCCAGAAATTAATCTCCTTAATTAGATAAAACTATTTCACAGTTAAAAAATTTTTGTCTGAACTACTAAATTCTTCATCTTTACATTTTAGGCAATAATTCAAAAGACATCTTTCATGCAAAAGCATCTTCATTTTTGACAGTAATATTGATTTAAACATTATCTATCTGCATATTAACATTTTCCTACTTCTACAAGTATAATCAAATGAAGTGAGCACAGAAAAGAATATCCTCATTATTAAAAGACTTGAATCCATATTTTAATATGCATGAATAAAAGTAAAGGGTAGTAAACAAAAACAGTCAAACAGGATATGTTTGTAGAGCATGGATATAAAACTGGTACTCCAAATAAGAAAGAAAGAAATGATACACCTAAATTAGAACTCTGACTCACAAGAATTTCCTCCAATTTTCTTTTTAATTATACTAATACGAAAGTTGAATCTCCTTTTTTTGGAGAAGAAATTTAAAGAATATAAGCTGGGTTAAAAAATAACCTGCATTACTAAATAACATTACCATAGCATTTTAAATGATCATAAAGGAAAAAATAAAGTTAAGGCACCACCAGTGGTTTCACTTTTTATTAGCAATTGTTTAAACCATAAATAAGTGGATTCATTAAGTTAATGTGTACTTACATTGACACTTCATAGCAACAGTAATATCTATATTGATTCTCAATTTGCTAAAAGACAGAAAGAAAATATTAGTACTACCAATTAATCAACAAAACATGAGAAATATGAATCAACTGATCTATGAAAATTTGAATTTCAAACAGAATAATATATGATTAGAAACTGGATAGGGGTGCCTGTGTGGCTCTGTCGGTTAAGAGTCCAACTCCAGCTTGGGTCATAGCCTCACGTCTCATGAGTTTGAGCCCCGTGTCGGGCTCTGTGCTAACAGCTCAGAGCCTGAAGCCTGCTTCAGATTCTGTGTCTCCCTCTCTCTCTCTCCCTCCCCTGCTTGCACTCTGTCTGTCTCTCTCTCTCAAAAATAAAGATTAAAATAATAAATAAACTGGATAGCACTTATTATGGCTAACACAAAGGCACTTTGAAAGTAAAAATTCTCTTTTGTAATTATAAAAGCCTTTCTGATTTCACAGGTTTTTAACACAATATCCTTTAATTTGATAATGGTAACTCAACAATAACTCCAAGCAACTGAGAAAAGTCTGTCTCTGTTTATATAAACCTTATATAGAATATTCTTTTAGAAATGTAAATCTTTCCAAATCAAGAGTTAGTAATTAAAAATCCTTCTCCTCTATTTATCAAATAAATATCATATACCAGGCATTATGCCAGATGCCCTACAAATATTAAATTTTTATTCTTTATCATGGACCTATAAAGTATACAGCTTCACAGTTTTGCAGATAAGCCGGTGGTGTTCAAACCAGTGTAAATGTCTGGCTGAAGCAGTGTATTGGAAACTAGGTCTGTGTAGCTCAGGGTAAATGCACCAAACTACCAGAAAAACAAAACAAAACACTTTGTTTTAAACTTTTGCATGACCTTTTTAAAAGACTCAGTCAATGCCTTATCTTTAAATCAAATTAATTTTCAAATATCAGAATTAATCATTCACCAGTGACTAACAGAATGAGTACAATCAATATCAGTCCCGTCCTGTGCTTCTAAATCAAAACTTTTTCACTCTAATAATTTTCATCTTATTTCAATAGAAATTACAGATTTTGAAGCTTCCATAGAGTCTTAAAATTGTCTAGAGTTCAAACTACTCCAAACGACTCAGGAGATGCTGTAGGAACAAGGGAAATAGGCAAAATGGCCCAGGCTTCTGGGCATCCCCCACTATGCTTATGTGGTAACCTATGAAATACTTCATTTGAAAAAAATTAACAAAGTGATTCACTGGTGCTAAAAAAACAAAAGAAAAACAACAAATTCTTTGAAAACTAATGGTATCAAGAATACTACTAATAGCACAGACAAAGAAACCAAGGCCCAAAAGAAGTCATTTGTGTGATTTGCCCAAGGTTACACAGCAATTTACAAGTACTGCCTTACTTAATTCTCATTAACCCCATGAGGAAAGTGCTATAAGTATTATCCCCATTTTATGAAAAAGGGGACTGAAGCACATGCAGACGTAGATTCAGTGACATCCCGAAAGTCACACAGCTAGTAAATGGCACAGCTGCAATAGGAATGGAGAAGTAAATGTCGCCCTCCCCACCCCTGCCTACCATCAGTGCAATCTTATTATAAACCTGGTATCTTCAGTCATTAAAAAATCCAAATACAAATAAATTAAAGAATAGATTTTCAAAGGTTTAATGGTGACATTTTTTATATTAAAATTTTGTTTAGATGTAATTTAAATCTAGTTTTAAGCACATACAATGTAGCTTTTAGACAATTTTCCAACTCTCACAAATCAGTAAGATAATTCAAAACGTAAAGAGTAAACAGTTTCAAAACATTAAACAATTTCTACCATTAAAACATCTAAAAAAATACATATTAAGTTCTCCTAAGCTTTCTTATAGAAGCTCATATTAACTGAAGAAAATCTTTTAGAATTTAACCAGTATTGAAATGATTCTGAAATATTTCACCTAATGTATGCACTTAAAGAGAATTTTTCAGTACTATTTCTTCATAGCTAAAATAAACCACATATAAAAAGTTAGAAAAATTTTTAAAAAGGTATGTTATCTTTAAAACAATTTGAATCTGAAAGTATTCAAGAAGAAAAAAGAAGTTACCTAGAAAAATCTTTATCTACTTCATATTCATACTTCATCCACGTATCTTGATATACTGAAAATTCCATTATGGTTAATAAAGCCATGGTGGTAAATGCTATTAGAGAAACTGAGAAAGCAAACAAACAAAAAATCAAGAATTAAAACAATTTTTAAAAGGAAACAATAGGAAACTATTTCAAATGAGATTAAAATTAGCAAAGAAAGCCCTTATATGATTGCCATGTGAATGGGTACTACTCTAAAAGGCTTTTCTTAAGATATCCACATGGATTTCTTTCTAAAACAGCTCAGAAATGAGGATTTACTGAGCAGAAACATAAACACAGCACTTCTACTGTTGAGAAAGCATTTTACCTCAGCAGTACTCAAGGTATCTCTTACTAAATACATTTGCCAAAATTTAACAAGACACAAAATTGTTCTCATGTACAGCAGTCATAGATATGATAAATGATGAAAGTAAGCATAAATTTTACAGTACAAATTTGAAAGCAATCTGCATAATTAAAAATGCATCCATGCCTGTAGCCCAATCTATTAAAAAAAAAAAATTGACTAATTCCTAGCTACTGAGAAGCCATGACATTCTATGTGCCAGAAACTCAAATAACATCTCCAAATCTCTAATAAAACTCTCATCTACTTTGGAATCTCCCAAATGTATCACTTCATTTATAAAAGCAGGTAAAATATTTGACCAAAAGGAAAAAACTATCATATATTATGACAAAACACACTTAAAATGGATCGTGCAACAAGAACTTGCACTATTTTCATTAACAAAACTTAATTGCAGATTAGAAATAGCAAACCCCTTACTACATACACGCTTTACCAAATGAAATGTCAATCTTACATGAAATATGCTATTTTATTAGCTCCTAATGGGGAAAGGAATAATAGTAAATACTGTTATAGTTGCATATTTTTCTTACATATTCCGTATCATTTATTTTAATAAACACTTCTATTTGTCCCAGGTACTGCTTTGAGCATTTCATAAGTATTAATGTATTTAATCACTAAAGTAACCCTACCAGGGAAAATCTGATATCATCCCCATTTCATGGAAGAAGAAACTAAAGCACTGATAGATTAAGTTAACTTCCTCAAGATCAGGTAGTTAGGAAGGGGCAGAGGTGGGATTTAAATCCAGTCTGGTTCCAGAATCGAAGCTCTTAACTATTACCTCATGTTGCCTCTCTCAAGCAACATGAAATTTAAGAATTTCTATTATAATGTCTAAATTGATTTATTCTTAACCAAAGTCGGACTGAAGCAATTCAACATTATTAAATAACTTCCTCCAAGTTAAATTCTATTTATATATAATTATACATAACTCAAGAGCACCAAAGCAGTAAAATTGGATTAAGTTGTTCAGTAATGTTTTAATACTGCTAAGTGCATAGACTGCACTGGGTTAGATGCCAAAGAGAATATATATGACAATACAATTAGGGCAAACATTGTGACAGGAGGACAAGAGCAGTCAGAGTTACACAATCACTGATGAGTTCTTCATGGCTCCTTTTCTGTATGTTGTTGACTGGCTCACTGAGAAGCTGCACTTAGTAAGGGAGTTTTACTCTGGACTGACACTCACCTGTACCTCCACTGGCTGAAGTCTCTACATAGCTGTCAGGAACCTTTGGAAAGGCATCCAACTCTTTCACCAAACTTAAGGTTTTTTTCCGATTCAGTCGCCTCATCTTCAGGAAAACCTTCTTCTTCTTTCATATAGTCATGCTAAGGAATAAATGATGAATAAATGAATCCTCTAAAAACGATACCAAGGTTTCTTTTAATTTTAGATAAGTAACAAATGTTCTTGGAACAACTTAATTGCATTCCTCCTTGAGAAAAAAGCTTAACATTTCTCTGAACCTCTCCTTTCTCCATCCCACCTTGACAAAAAATACTAATGAAAGGCAATTTACACACACGAGCACATTAAAACAGCAAAAAAGTGAAAAACACTTCACATTCATAATATTTAAATGTACAAATTAAAATAAGAAGTAACTTTTCATCTATTAAATTAGCAAATATATTAAAATAATATATTCCCACTAACAGATTACAATGAAGTAAATAAAATAGGCATGCTCAACTATTGCTAGCAAGGATAATAATATTCACCACTCCCCTTTTGACTAAGTAAATTCCGTTTATAGGAATTTATCCTAAAATAATAATCTGGTATCACTAAAACTTTAAGAGGACAATATTCTTTTTTTAATTTTTTAACATTTATTTATTTTTGAGAGAGACAGACAGGGTGACTAAGGGAGAGGCAGAGAGAGAGGGAGACAGAATCTGAAGCAGGCTCCAAGCTCTGAGCTTCAGCACAGAACCTGACATGGGATTCAAACTCATGAACCATGAGAACTTGACCTGAGCCAAAGTCAGATGCTTAATTGACTGAGCTACCCAGGTACCCCATGAAGATAATTTTCATGTTGTCATTTTAAAATATTGAAGCTAGACGGGCGCCTGCATGGCTCAGTGGGTTAAGCGTCAGACTTCGGCTCAGGTCATGATCTCACAGTTCGTGGGTTCGAGCCCCACGTCGGGCTCTGTGCTAACAGCTAGTTCAGAGCCTGGAGCCTGCTTCAGATTCCATATCTCCCTCTCTCTGACCCTCCCCTGCTCACACTGTCACTCTCTCTCTCTCTCTCTCTCAGAAATAAATAAAAACATTAAATTTTTTTTTTTTAAAAAACAGACTGCTTGGTATTCTTTTTTTAATCAGTATGCCAACTATACCTCAAATATGTTACAAAGCCATGAAAATAACTGAATTCTCAAATACTTGTATAATTTTGAAGACTACTGGTGATACTATAAAGCATTACCAGAAATCAAAGCTGTATTACTAAAATCAGCACCCAATGGAATAAATCAAATAGTTGTGGGAGTCACGAAAAGAAAAAGAAGGTCTCCAGAGAAAGCAGAAGACTTGTCTGAAATCCAATGGGGTACGATTAATATGGAAAGAATAGGTCATAGAATGGGCATTTGTGAAGAAAACCTGACCGTGATCGTGAACACTGTCCAAAAGACACTAGTCCCTAACCAGGGGCACTACTAATTAGTCCTAAAGTGAAGGCTGGATGCATTGATACACTGATTTCAATTGCCATTAAAAACATCCAACTAACTTCTCTCTCCTATTCCATAAGCACAATGTGGCCTTCAGATTATAATTTTGATTCTCACGTGTATGTTTTTCTTAAGGAAAAAAGACACATGCAAACAAGACAGGTGAGTTTCTGATCCCCATAACAGTCATAAAACTGGTATTCTCACTTGTAAATTATGCTCCTGAGTGTTTGTAAGCACAAGCTGTGCTCCCTAAGTTTGTTCAACTCTGAATAAGCAAATTTATTTTCTGTACATACTTAGTGGTAACTGCACCAAGACTGATCCTTCTTCAATTTTTCAATTTCTACTCTTTCTTTCCTATTGGGGTTAAATATTAAATACATTCAAACCTCTTGTCTTTAAAACAAAACTCTACATTTAAGATGAAGTCCAACTCCAACTATAGATCTCTGGCTGCTTATCTATAAACCAAATTTAAAAGAATGAATTGTCAGGGCACCTGGCTGGCTAAGTCAAAGGCATGTGAATCTTGGTCTCAGGATGAGCTTGAGCCTCATGAGGGTAGCATTTACTATAAAAACACAAAAAGAATGAATTGTCCTCATTTGTACACTGTGACTACTTCCTCACTACATGCTCATCTCTTAACTAAATTTGCTCTGAGCTAAGTCATGAACAACTTTTTTTTTTTTTGCTTATTTTTGAGAGAGAGGGAGAGAATGAGAATGCGAGTAGGGAGCAGCAGAGAGAGAGGAGACAGAATCTGAATCAGGTTCCAGGCTCTGAGCTATCAGCACAGAGCCCAACACGGGGGCTTGAACTCATGGACTGCGAGATCATGACCTGAGCCTAACTCGGACATTCAACTGACTGAGCCACCCAGCTGCCCCATGAATAACTTCTTTAGTATGAAATTCTATGGAATTTCTAGTCCATATCTGATTCTGCCTCTGAAAAACTGGTTTATCACTTCTTTTTCTTCTTGAAACAGCATCTCAACTTGGCTTAAGTGATACTATATTCCTGATTTTCATTCTACCTCTAAGACCTTCTTTACTATGCAGATTCTTCTTCCACTCAGATCCTGCTCTAGGCCCTCCTCCAAACCTCCACACTTTCTCCTAGTGATCTTTCCTCCCTGCAATTTCCACTTATATGCCCTTTCTTCTCAAATCTTTATTCCCAGTACAAATCTCTCTACAGACATATATTTTTGCTTTGCTTTCTATGACATTTTCATTGGGTCATTGCAAAGGCAATTCAGACTCAATTAATTGCTTGTTTAATTTGGTTTTCTCCCCTGTAATGTTTGGGCAGGAACCCTAAGTTGATCTGTGTTATTTCCAATGCCCAACACAGAGACATAGAATAAATATTCATGAAATGAAAGAAAAAAAGAAAGGTGTGAAATTCTCCAAAACATGAAGGAAGGAAATTTACTCAGACATACCCATGATAGCACAGCTTTCCAATCAAAACAGTGAGATAAGTAAATACATAAAAATAGAAGATCCACAAGGAGAGGAATTTTTGGGGTTTTTTTCCATTATATTAGTCCTAGTACCTAGAATACATAATAGGTATAGCACAATTGAGCAAATAAACTGAACTTTACTCCTAAACTTGCTGTATTTTTGTAAGCTTTATAAATGTGTTCCTTTAAATTATATATAAATACAAAGATATGACAAGCAGCTAGTAAGTTTTACAAACTTCTAACAAGTCATACAGCTTATTCAGCACTCCTCCCACCTAGCGACCTCCCAGTCTCAATCTAGCATCTTCCGTTCCTGTTTTCCATGATTGCTCTTCTAGAATGGGGCACCTTGCCACTCTGCTCCTCCTCCTGTCCCATTCCTGTTAGATCAGCACTAACCTGCATCGAAGAAACTCATTCCATCTCCAATACTTGCCACTCTACTCTATAGAGCCACTGTTCTGAGAGGAACAAGTTATCCAGTAACTTCCAGTTTTTCTAAAAGCAATCCTTTTACCTGCTTTCTTCATGAAACTTGACATTCTCCTGGTGGTAATTCCCTTCAAATCCTTACTTCATTTCTGAGACTCACCGGGAAAGGCAGTATATGTTTTATTATGATTTCTCAACCATCTCTTTCCTTTTCAAGTATATTTCTAATAATAATTAACACAGGGGTGCCTGGGTGGCTCAGTAAGTTGAACATCCGACTCTTGATTTCGGCTCAGGTCATGATCTCATGGCTCAAGAGTTCAAGCCCCATATCAGGCTCTGCACTGACAGTGCAGAGCTTGGTTGGGATTCTCTCTCTCTCCTCTCTCTCTGCCCACCCTCCAACTCGTAGACATTCACTCTCTCTCTCAAAAATCGATAAATACTTAAAAAAAGATACTTTTATTCTCATTTATAGATAAGAAAAATGAGGCACAGAACAGTCAAGTAAGATCTTCAGGGCTACACAGCAAGCAGTAGAACCTGGATTTGAACCCAATTGACTTGATTCCAGAGAGCCCAGAGAGATTCCAGCAGAGTCCATGCTCCAAACCTCAGTGTACACTGACACTTCAGTACTTGTGATCATTGTCTGTTAACATCTGGATATATTTAAAATTTCCTTAATAACTTTAGCACCTGGATCATTCAATAGGCTTCTCTTCTTCCCCATTCTGTCACAATCCTTTGCAAATCGTGACCCTATGACACTCATCCTGTGGCATTCGTTTGCAATGATAATGCCTTTACCATGTAAGTTTACCCGATTTCCTATGCCAGTGACCTCCATCCATGCAAAGCCACATGCAAGCAAGACCATGTTTTGGCTTCTCTTAACTTTTAAAACAGTTCCATCTCCAAAATCCAAAACACTAGTTTTCCTCTCTGAGCAGAACCAATTATCCTTCCAGCTCTTTAATTTCCTAACTAGGAAAGAATTTGTTCTTCGCTTTCCCTGTGTTTTCAATACGCCGGATTCCCAGTTATCCAGTTCCACTGCTCCTGCCCCCACTCTTTTTGCCATTTTTAAAAATGCGTTTAGAAATACCCCACATCACTGGTTTCCAGAACTCACTGCCATTCTATTAGCAAATTTTGTTTTCTGAACCTAAATGAAAAATATGAAACTTTTAAAGCTAAATGTATTCAATTTAAAAATATTTTATCTGAGATTATTTCCTTCCTTTTAGATGTGTGTCAAAATGTCCTTTCTTTTATGAAATGATAAAAGCAGGTAACAGAGGTTTTTGTTTCTTTTGTTTTGGGATGTCCTGCTTTACTAAAATTAAAAACTGCAATTTTCTACATCAGCCCTCAAATCCAGTTCCTTTCCCTGTTTCTCCTCTATATTTTGTGCAGGTCCACAAAAATCTAAAAATTTAGAAGCCACTGCATTTGATTTCTTTGCCCACTGGTTGGTGCTGCTCTTCGTACTTTCCCAATCTCCAATCTGTTTTCTTCAATTTCTCCCCTAAATTGTCATGTATATTAAGAAGTAAAACAAAGTTGAGGAAGTCATTGATAACAGGTGAGACTAAGGCAATGCTTTGAAAAACTGCATGAGAAATAAGAAACCACCTTTCATTCTGGAACACACACACATTATCAAAACTCAATTTAATTAATGTGAACAAAGCCCATATTTCACCACTGCATCCATTTGAATATAATGACACTATGTTTTCCCAAAATTAAAACAAAGAATTCATGACACCTTTTACAGTCTGCTCAATTAAGTTTTACTACTTCTCCAGACAAAAATGGAGAAACAATTTTACTCCTGCTACCCACATTTTATGAGCTAACTTCTATTTTTAATATATATTTGGCAATATAAGAAATATTTAATTGGTTAATATATATGACCATGTTGTGGGCTGAACTGTGTCCCCTACAAGGATAGTGAAGTCCTAATCCTGGTATTGGTAAATGGGCCTTATTTGGAAACATACTAGTTGGGTCTTTGAAGATGTAATTAGTTAGGATGTGATCATACTGGATTAGGGTGGTCCAAAATCCAATGACTGCTGTTCTCTTAAGACACACAAGCAGAAGAGAATGCCACATGAAGAGGCAGAGGTAAGAGTGATGCATCTACAAGCCAAGAAAAGCCAATGAGTACCCAGATGCTACAGGACGCAAGGAAGGTTCTTTCCTACAGCAGTCAGAGGTACCATGGCACTGCCAAGACCTTGATTTCATCTGCTAGCCTCCAGAACTCTGAGATAAATGTCAATTTTTAAAAAAAATTTTTTAATGTTTATTTATTTTTGAGACAGAGAGAGACAGAGCATGAGCTGGGGAGGGGCAGACAGAGAGAGGGAGACACAGAATCTGAAATAGGCTCCAGGCTCTGAGCTGTCAGCATAGAGCCCAATGCAGGGCTCGAAACCACGGACCACGAGATCATGATCTGAGCAGAAGTCGGACACTTAACCGACTGAGCCACCCAGGTGCCCCTAAATGTCGATGTTTTTAAGCCATCCAGTTTATGGGAACTAGCAGCCCCATGAAACTAATACAAGGAACTAATAAGAATGAGAACAGACATCAAATAAATATTATCAAAGGCCATAAATGAACTTCAGAAACAAAAAGCAAAACTACTTATCTATAAAATCATGATTACATTGCATTAGAATACTTTACACTTAAAAACATTTTTATGAAAGATAACTTAGTTTCAATTGACAAATACTAGCTATCATCCAAAAGTACTTAATGCTTTTCACTTTAAAACTTAAGATTGTTTTGGAAGAGTTCATGTTGTTTTTAAAATTGTTTACCCCAGGGGCGCCTGGGTGGCTCAGTTGGTTAAGAGTCTAACTTCAGCTCAGTGCATGATCTCACAGTTCATGGGTTTGAGCCCCACGTTGGGCTCAGAACCTGGAGCCTGCATTAGATTGTCTCCCTTTACTCTCTGCCCCTCCCCCACTCATGCTGTCTCTCTCTCTCTCTCTCTCTCTCTCTCTCTCTCTCTCTCATTAAACTTTTTTTTAAAAAAAATAATAAAATTGTTTACCCCAACATAATTCAAATAAATCTAACAACTTTCAAAGTGTTTTGTAAAAAAGGAAAACTCAGAAGCTGAGTAAGATGGTATAAATATGAATTTTATGGTCAGAAAAACTTGGGTTACTTTCTTGGCCCTTACTAGTTGTGTGACAAATTTGTAAAGATCCTCAGCATCACAAAATCCTCTATTAGATTTTAATTAAAAGGCAGGAGGGAGACATACAGGTTACCGCACAGTTTCTAACCAAGATAAAAATAAGTCATGTGATAAATGTTTCTAATTCTCAAAAGAAATGCAAAGATTTTAAATTTATGTTTAAGTCTTCGGGGAAGGTGTGATAGCATCTGAGGTTAATTAATAATATCATGAATAGGGGTGCCTGGGTGGCTCAGTCGGTTAAGTGTACGGCTTTGGCTCAGGTCATGATTTGGTTCATAAGTTCGAGCCCTACATTGGGCTCTGTGCCAACAGCTCAGAGCCTGGAGCCTGCTTCGGATTCCGTGTCTCCCTCTCTCTTTGCCCCTCCCCTGCTTGCTCTTTGTCTCTGTCTCTCAAAATAAAGACATAAAATTTTTTTTTAAATATCATGAATAGAATGAAGATGATATTAAAGTGATAGAAAAGCTAAGAGAAGAGACTGTAGAGTGATGGCAATACAATTTGGAAGTACCTAGTAGTAATGTGAAGCAAGGACAAATATAATCCTCCTCAAAGAATAGACTGAGTATACTAACTACTCAATCAAAGTACAAAATTGAGGGGCACCTGAGTGGCTCAGTTGGTTAAGGGTCTGACTCTTGGTTTGGTTTCAGCTCAGGTCATGACTCACAGTTCGTGGGTCATGCCCCACACTGGGCTCTGCCCTGACAGTGCAGAGCCTATTTAGGATTCTCTCTCTCTCTCTCTCTCTCTCTCTCTGTCTCTCTCTGCACCCCTCCCCCACTCATGCTGTCTTGGTCTCTCTCAAAAATAAACTTAAAAAAAAAAAGTGTACAAAACCGAGGTGGAAATGGTCAGGGACACATGAAATACAATACCTTTATAACAAAATGAGTGAATATCTCCAAATGCAAGAAGAATGGGTTAACAAGCACCAAGAGTAGAAAAACTGACCTAGACTAGTAAGACCATATGGAATAGGAGAAAGGAGGAATTTGTACCTTAGCAATCAATAGAGGATAACAGCTTAAGGAAGCAAGCAGTTGGAAGATGGAGTTTAAAGACATTAACCACATAAAGAGAGTGTTTAATCAGTTTTGGGATCAGAAAGAAATTACTTTAAAGAGTGTCTTCTTGGGGCACCTGGGCGGCTCAGTCGGTTAAGCATCCGACTTCGGCTCAGGTCATGATCTCATGGTTCGTGGAATCAAGCCCCGCATCGGGCTGTGCTGACAGCCAGCTCAGAGCCTGGAGCCTGCTTCAGATTCTATGTCTCCTCACTCTGACCCTGCCCTGCTCACAGTGTCTCTCTCTCTCTCTCAGAAATCAATAAAAACATTTTTAAAAACTAAAAAATAAAGAGCGTCTTCTTCAGGGGCACCTGGGCAGCTCAGTCGGGTTAATGTCCGGAATGGGCTCAGGTCCTGATCTCGCAGCTGGTCAGGTTCAGCCCCACTCCTTAGGGCTTGCTGCTGTCAGCCTGTCAGCGCAGAGCCTGCTTTGGGTCCTCAGCACCACCACCCCTTTTGCCCCTGACCTGCATGCACTCTCAAAAATAAACATTTTTTTAAAAAAGGGTCTTTTTCAGTCTTTATTTTGACTAAGTACCAAGGTAATATCTTGTGAGTAAAAACAGAAGTTAGGAAATAGAAATGTTAAAATAACAAGAGCTAATATTTAATGAATGCTAACCACATGATAGGCATTGTTCTAAGTGCTTTGTGTGCTTTAACTCATTAAATCCTCACCAAATACCTTACAGACTTAGGTATTATTATTCTTATTCTCATTTTGCAGATAAGGAAACTAAGACACAAAGAGGCTAATTTGCCATTGTGACATTAAAAGGCATAATCAGAATACAGAAAAAAAAAACTGTTAAATAGGGTTTGTTAGCTACTAGACTGCCTAAGGTAACTTCTACTAAAAATGAGTTTCACTATCTCTTCCAATGAAACCATGAACCCCTAAATAAAATAAATTTATATATATTTTTTCTAATTCTTTTTTGTTGTTCCAGGCGAAGCCTAATTTCCTTTGAGAGATCTTTCAAGCTTGATATATTTTTATGATATGTACCCTCAAGCCATTTCAACTCAGTTGTGTACTACAGTTTATCAATGAAACAAAACTCCTCTCCTTCTCCTCCCAAAACCATGAAATTTATTTTGTTCATGTTTTTTGAACTGGAATAACTGCATAAACTTAAAGATATCAATAAACAAAACAAGCAAACCTCCTGAATTCTTAACTGAACAAGCCTGACTCATTTCTTTTCATGGCGATATACCAGAGTTTATGTATCAGGCCAGGCAATTACTTAAATACAACTTCAAACAAATGAGTAAGTCCGCTTTGTAAATGTATCTTTAACTGCCTCTGAAAGCCAGTCTTGCAACATTTTAACAGATATTATGTAACTTTGCCTGAAGTCTCGACGGCACTAAATCCAAAATACAAAAGTTACTTAAACACGTTTTCTCAAACAATGACTTATCAACTCTACAAATCACCTATATCCAAGGCTATTCTCTACCATGAATTGACAAGTTCCCTTCTGAGGGTTTCTTAACCCTCGGGGGTTTAAGAAAAGTAGTGATACTCGGACCTGTCTCTCCTAAAGCATCTCGCCAGCCCTGCCCCTTTTTCATTCCCCCAGGCGGCGTGCAAAACTCTGGAGACAAGGCCAAGACCTCGGGCTTTCTTAAAGACAGCAACTTGCTGCCAAGGATTTGGAATTCGTCTGAATGGGGGCGGGGAGCCAGACACCCGGGAGGATCGGGACACGTTCCGGCTGGTCTTCACAACGCGGGACCTTTCTCCCTGAGGACGAGAGGAGCCACCGGGGCACAGGGCGCAGTGAGAAGCAATGGGTCAGGATTAGCAGGTATCGGAGAAGTACTTAAACTCATTCAAGTTGCGAGACAGCGCACAGACACCGGACTGGGGAGACCGGAGCTCCCCCGCGCTGCGCTGCCCAGGGTCCTGCCAGTAACGCCCCCGGGGGAGGTGGAGCGGCTCCCCCAGTCCGGCCCTTTCTCCAAAAGAGACTGATGGAGACAGGGACCCAACCCCACGATAGACTCTCAGCCCCCTTAACGACATTCACTACCTGAACAGCCTTGGAACAATCGGGAGAACATCACCCGGCGGGGTTTCAGTATTTTACCTTGTGTTACGGTACCAGCCGGCCGCCATGTTTCACAGAAGCCCGGGTCGCCGGGCTCCAGTTCACCCGAAAATATCGCGAGAACAAAAGCGACAACCACCACTGAAAACGTCAGATGGGAGACAATGTAGAGTTCTCGCGATATTCCCTTTGCTTACGAAGTGCTTTGTGAATCAACAGGTGTGGTCAATGTGAAAGGGGTGTGGCTAAGCAGAACAGAGGTTGAAATATATTTTAGGTGTAACCACGTGGCCAATAAAGAATCAGCTTCTCTTGGAAGGCACGGGTTACCTTCCTACTGACACTTAGGGGCCACAGAACGAATCTCAACGCCTCATAGAGTGCTTCATCGCTAATGACAGACTTGGGCGCAGGATTTATCATTTGCAACCCTAATGCCTATCAGTACAATCCGCACCACGTTTTGTGCCTTCTGTTTGCCTCATTTCCTCTCGTCAAGAACATTTAAACTTCCTTTTTCAAACGAAATTTCACTAAATTGAAAATCAGTGTTTCCACTGATGCAATTTCATTTCCAGACTTTCCTGTCACGGTTAGTCCTTCACATATTTGAGAAGAAGCTTACTGTAGTGGGTAAGAGCTTAGACACTGGGGCTAGGATTTACTGGGTTAAAATTCCAGTTCAACCATTTATGGGCACATTATTTCATCTCGTTTCCTTTTCTGTAAAATAGCACGGTAATATCTCATATGATTGTTACGAGAACTAAGTCAGTTAGTAAATATCTAAGTACTTCTTTACTTTAGCCACAGGGTACCAGCAGACCTTCCTTCTTTGTGGGTCTAAAACTATATGGGCTCTTGCTTGGAGAGAAGCTGGCTGTTTTTCACTTAGTTAGACCTGGTCCCTGGTCTCCAGAGGAGTCTGTTTTCAGGGTAATTACTGACCCCTAAGAGTTGGATTTCCCAGTATAGCAAAACTGACTAGTTTGATCTTCCTTCTTTAGAAAACAACTCACCATTTTCCAGGCTGCCAAATGAAGACAAAAGTAATTTCTCCTGGAGACTGAAACTCAGCTTAACTTTAAAAGAGGGGTGAATATTTAATCCTATATCATTGGTGGTGGGTGTTATATCTGTAACACAATTTGTTTAAAACAAAAATATTATATATTACCTGTTGAAGAGAATTAGGAAATAGGTTTTAAACTGGGGACTTAAACTGGCACTAAACAACCTGTACTTGTTTTTCTTAATTTATTTTAATGTTTAGTTTTGAAAGAGAGGGAGAGAGCAAGTGGGGGAGGGGCAGAGAGAGAGGGAGACAGAATCTGAAGCAGGCTCCAGGCTCTGAGTTGTTAGCACAGAGCCTGAAGCAGGGCTCAAACCCACAAGCTGCAAGATCATGACCTGAGCCAAAGTGGGATGCTTAACCAACTGAGCCACCAGGTGCCCCCAAATCTTTTATTTTTATTTATCCTGAGAGAGAGAGAAGGAAATAGAATTCCAAACAGGCCCTGCACAGATAGTACAGAGCCCAACTAGGGGCTTGAACCCATGAACCACGAGATCATGACCTGAGCCAAAATCAAGACTTAGACACATAAATGACTGAGCCATCCAGGTGCCTCCAAATTTTGATTTCAATAATATGACATAAATAGAAAAGTCTGCAAGCTTTAACACCCATCAAACTCAGATGCCTTCAGGAGTCAGGCTATACATATGTGTATGCATGTTGGTCGCATACACATATGTGTCATCCAAATGCTTTCAAAGTCAAAATTTTTAAAAACATTGTACTGTGCTCTCGAGACACAAATGTAACCTCCCAGACCAAATGTCTAATAACCCCTATAACAATCACTACCTAATTTTCACCTATTAATGTTAATATTTATAAATTCATAAATCCAGATGAACTTCAGAAGAGAGTATCTAAAAACAAGTTCATTTGTATGTATGTGTCTTTATGTTTTTATAATTTTTATGTACATGGCAAATAGGCATAATTACATAATATAATCTAAGTACTTCTTAGTACTTAGGGGAAAAAACAGTATGCTATGAGAGTAAAAAACAGTCAAGTTTCAACTGAGCAGAGCAGAAGGTAATTTTCCATTTTCTGATATAATTATCTAACATTAATGTTGAGCTAAAAAAGATGACATAATTTCCATCCCATATATGGGATATGTCCCTACAAGGTAATTTTCATATCGGGTCAAAAATGCATAAACAACTATATATATAGATACTATATGGTCAGGATAGAAATGCTTTGATTAAAAATTATGAATATATACCTTACTATTACTGTTAAAAGAGCCTAACTTAACAAATTCTTTTATTTATTAAACTTGTTTTTCTAAAAATAAAGGATAGTTGAGCCAACAGTAGTAAGGGCCTCTCCTTTCTGTCTGGGTCTTAGAAGGAAAGAAGTCAGTGAGACATAATCATTCTCCCTTGCCCTACACACACTTCCTCCTGAACTGGGCTTTGAGGGAGTAAACTTGGTCAGAAGTTGATTTTCCTCTCATGGAGTATATTTATATTGGGGGGAATCCCATTAAAGTTCAGAGTCCTTGACACAAATTGGGGCTGCTGCTTTGATATCACTTCCATCCTATAAGGGTGACGTTCTAGAACACACTGATTCCCCCTTGGCATTCCCACAATAGTAGCATTGGAGATCACTGAGCCTGAGTTAGGGGAAACCATTAACATCATGTCTATCATAAGCCAACTCCATGAGGAACACATAGGAATCCACTGGAGTCTTCCATTCAGAGGCAAAACTATGAGAGATTAGTACCATTCTTATATTTTCCTTTTTGTCTATACGTCGAAGAAATAGGCTTGATTCCGTTAAATGATGATATTTGTCAGGGAAAAACTGAAAAGACTTAATTATGATAAAGTTTTAAATGTGCTAGCAAAGGCCAAAATGGACAGTGTGCCGTCCTCCTTGCTCTCAGAGCATTCTTCAGGGAATTGCAGTAGTTCTGTCACAGGCATACTTAAGAAGTCCAGTGGTGGAGCGCCTGGGTGGCTCAGTCGGTTGAGCGTCCAACTTCGGCTCAGGTCATGATCTCACGGTTCGTGGGTTCGAGCCCCGAGTCAGGCTCTGTGCTGACAGCTCAGAGCCTGGAGCCTGTTTCAGATTCTGTGTCCCTCTCTCGCTCTGTTCCTTCCCTGCTCATGCTCTGTCTCTCTCAAGGATAAATAAACATTAAAAAAAGAAGAAGAAGAAGAAGTCCAGTGGAGAGGTCAACGTGGCAAAATTTGCTTTAAATATTCCCAAGGGGAAGTCTAAAGCCATTCAGATCCCTGTCCCATTGTGTGAGACCTATTTTTCTCTGAAATCTTACACCATTTTCTTGTCCCTAGTACTCGTAAATTTCAGTGATGTGTCAATATGGATCCATGTCTTCATTGGTGTGCGGTGTATCCAGTGGCTCCTTTCAGCCTGGCAACTCATGCCCTTTGGTTCTAGGAAGTTTTCTATTTTCTTAATTTCTCTCCTCTATTTTCTCTGTTATCTCATTCTTATACTCCTATTGTTATATGATATCTTCTGGACTTTATAAACGTTTACTAGAGGAAATGGGACAAGGATAGCAAGAAATAAAGAATTATACTTTGGGGCACCTGGGCGGCTTAGTCAGTTGAATGTCCGACTTCTACCCAGGGCATAATCTCATGGTTTGTGGGTTCGAGGCCCCGCATCAGGCTCTGTGCTGAAAGCTCAGAGCCTGGAGCCTGTGCTCGGATTCTGTGTCTCCCTCTCTCTCTGACCCTCCCTTGCTCATGCTGTCTCTCTCTCAAAAATAAATAAAACATTAAAATAATAATAAATAAAGGAAAATGCACAAGATAATAACATGAATTGAAAGTTTACTAGGGGCCAGCCATTCTTTGAAGTGTTTTAAACTTACGAACTCCTTTAACTATAGGATACCTCTATGAAGAGGTTTCTTTTATTATGTCCATTTTATAGATGAGGAATTGGAAGTACAACAAGGCTAATTTGCCCAAAGTCATAACACTAATTAATGATAGAGCTGGAATTTGAACCCAAGAAGTCTGGCTTCAGAACCAACACTTAATCCCTATGCCCTGGGCTATGTTAATAGCCCAGGGGTTATTAATATTTCATTCAAAACATTTTCATAAGGATTAGCTTGAATAATTAAAGGAACCCAATAGAAATATCAGGCAATATCTGGCATCCAGAAGATATTCAGACACATTTAAAACCCCTTTTCCCTAGATATGGATAGGGCAAAGTGTAACTTCCAGCATTAACTAAGCAAAATTAACAAATAGGCTGATTGTTAAAAGTGATATCAGCAAATGCAAGTCACAAGAGCAATTTGTGCTTTCTAGGCAAAGGGAATCACAGAAAAATGAGAGGGTCTAATGCTCTAGATGTGTATGGAACATTCTAATTAACCAGACAGAAGGACCGATTCTACCCTGAGGATCTAGTGTAATTAAAATGGCCTTACGCGGGTGAGGGGCATGGGTGAGATAAAATGGACTTGGAGTACAGTTAGCAATGTATAGAATTGTTGAATCATTATATTGTACACCTGAAGCTAATATAAAATTGTATGGTAATTATACTTCAATAAAAATATATTTTTTTAATGTTTTATTTATTTCTAGGAGAGGGAGAGAGAGACAGCATGAGCGGGGGAGGGTCAGAGAGAGAAGGAGTCACAGACTGAAACAGGCTCCAGGCTCCGAGCTGGCAGTCAGCACAGAGCCCGACGCGGGGCTCGAACCCACGAACCGCGAGATCATGACCTAAGCGAAAGTCGGACGCTTAACCGACTAAGCCACCCAGGCGCCCCAATAAAAATATATTTTTAAAAATTTTTAATATTTATTTTTGAGAGAGGGAGAGAGAGCATAAGTGGGAGAGGGGTAGAGAGAGAGAGAGACACAGAATCTGAAGCAGGCTCCAGGCTCCGAGCTGTCAGCACAGAGCCTGACACGGGGCTGGAATCCACTGACAGCGAGATCGTGACCTGACCTGAACTCTGATGCTTAATGGACTGAGCCACCCATGTGCCCCAATAAAAATATTTTAAAAAACACACAGTGATATGGAAAGATCTACAGCCTATATGATCAAGTGGA